GAAAAACCACATTGGCAGAAAGCCAATAGAGACATAGAGGAACAAAATTGAGAAGTAGAGAGAGGCAGAGAAGTATAAGCCTGCAGCAACACTGTACTTTCCAGTGGAACTATTTTTAGCAGTGAGATAACACATCACGTTGGACTTATCCCTTTGATCATGATTATGATTATGACTAGGCAATCATCTCACACACACACACACACACACACAGAGATGCAGCAGACATATGTAGCCCATACACACAAGTAGACAGAAAAGTGACACGTGTGTTGGTTTATGTAAGACTTGTATTTAGTGTATTACATGAGATGAGTTTCCCAATAAGCAAACATTCATTGTGCCTTTGTGTTTAGTGTAACACTGTGTGTGGGTGTGATAACACGTTATGAAGCCTAATGTCTATAGTGGTTAGCATGTTGTGATGTTAACCTTGTGCTCCGCCTGCAGTTGTGTGTGCTGCCAAAATGTTTTGGGCCTCCTGACAACAAAGCTAAAAAAACATTTGCAGGTCCCCTCCCAGCGACTTTGTCGTTTTAGGAAACTTAGTGACCTCTGTGTTGGCCGGCAGCTTTTAGAAGTAGAGCACAAAACAAAGAATACACTTTCTAGGATTACCTCAACAGCACGTAATATGGCTGGAAATCTTTGACTGAAAGTGTATTGTCATTGTTTCTAATATTTGACCACAGATTGAATGTCATTGAACCCAGAAGGAATCGTATATCCTGCATTGGGAGGATATCAGTAGCTCAGAGATGTATAGAATATGAAACCTAATGTTTATATCTGCTGCTACGTTTTGTAATTGTTGTAAAGGACCATAGTTAAAACATGTTGCCCATACTATTGCAGTACATTACCGCCATTCAGCCTATTAAGTTAAATGCGTCAAAAAGAAAGTAAGGTTTCATGTATTACTGTAACATATAACTTTGAATATCCTTTTTTTTCATATACACTTTATACATGAGAGATAGGTTTGATTCTCTGTCCCTGCAGGGTTTTAGTTACAAACAGCAGACAGTGTGAGTACTTTACAATTCATCCAGTAGTACACTCGGTGTGTGTGTGAAGGAAAGAAACCTGAGAACCTCTACTGTTTTGACCGTAGAAGGACAATAGTATAGTGCATGAGTGAACGATTCAGGTTACTGACTCACGCATGCACACACAGACGTTGGTAAAGTGTGTGTCTGTGTGTGTGTGAAAAAGAGACTGAAGCACATGGAGGACAGACGGCTTAGGTTACAGGTCGTCAACACACATTCATTCAAACCCACACACACAGACACACTCAAACACATACACACAGTTGCAAACTCAGCAAGAATCGGGTGACATCGCTTTTCAGTGAATGTGTGTTTGAGGGTCAGTTTCAGCGAAGCAATACTCTCTCTTTCTGCAATGTAGGTCAGTTCGCTTGCATCTCTTTCTACTTTCCTGCACTTCATATCCCTCTCTCAAATCATGTGTTGGATGAACTTTATTGTGTTTGTTAATAATAATGTTTCCCACTCTACATGCTGGAAGCTTTAATATTAAGGGCGGATGAGCTCTCAGCAAAAACATTTCTGTACTTTTACTCCTTCTGACTCACTCTAAGCACAGCCTCTTTCTATTCTTTCTCTCTTACTGTAATATCTTTCACCTCGTGGTTTTATATCCTTATTTCTGTGTGTTTCCATACACAGCAGGCAGCTATTTTCAGGAAGAAAGTTCTGAAAGCCCATTTTATCACCTTGTTCAATACCAAACAGCAGACAGACACAGTTAGTAGTGAAGACAATTGAGCATTTTTCTCTCGACATTTGGTTGAGACCAATACAGGGCTTAGAGGAGAGTGAATATTGGTCATATATGTGCAAGGTGACTAGAAGCCCACCATCAAGTGAATGCTAATGTTGCTCCATGTCTACTGGATGGGCAAAACGCATTAGTTTGCTAACAAGTTAGACATATTAAATGTAATATGTTAATATACTGTGTTTGATTCTGCTGCCCCCACATGGCAAAAAAGTTGTTAATGCAGATGTACGTGCTATTGTTCTTCATTAATAAGAGTTCCCATTGATTTACATTCCTATTTTATAGTTTGTATAGTTGCCATGCTTATTACAAACACAATATACATATATCTAATATGACAATGCTTAATATTTCTCCTGGAATTCTAACAAACCTTTTCTCACCAGGCAGAGTGAACTGTCAGAAATAAAGTACCTCACTTCGAAGATAAAAGCAGATGGCAGCATGAACAGATCTGAGGCAGCGTGTGCTGACTTTGTGATGTGACGGCTGATATGAAACGTCTCTCATCTCACAGCGCTCAGACACATAATATTCCTCTTATCACAAAGTTTTAATTTGAGCAACAGCTGGTTGAAAACGAACTCGGATTATTATTTGATACCAATCTATATCATCACTGTCATTGTCAGCTACAGCACCAACTGTACGTTCAATGACACACCGAACTGGAGAGAGACAAGAAGAAAATGAATGCCAAGAGAGTAGAAGCAAGGGTTGACAGACAATTAAGAACATTACACTAGATGGAAAACGATTATTGGAAATGGAGTGATGAAGAAGGAGAGGTGGGCAGGCTGAGGCAGGAGAGGAGTTGGAGTGAAGGAGGGAGAGGCAGGGAAGAGTGCATCTCAGTGCTAAAAGCTCACCTCTCAACACACTCTGAGTCATGCCTGCCTGATTGAACAGATTGTGTGTGTGTGTGTGTGTGTGTGTGTGTGTGTGTGTGTGTGTGTGTGTGTGTGTGTGTGTGTGTGTGTGTGTGTGTGTGTGTGTGTGTGTGTGTGTGTGTGTGTGTGTGTGTGTGTGTGTGTGTGTGTGTGTGTGTGTGTGTGTGTGTGTGTGTGTGTGTGTGTGTGTGTGTGTGTGTGTGTGTGTGTGTGTGTGTGTGTGTGTGTACTGTATGTGCATCATGTGAATTTGCATTACTCCTACGCATGTCTTTGCAGTTTCGCTATAGTAGCAATGCGACACTTGGAAAACCAAAGGAATCTGCTTGAGATGCAAGAGGCCTCTCGTCATACAGAACACACACGGCCTCACGTACACACGCACACAAACACACACACACACACACACACACACACACACACACACACACACACACAAAGTGAAAGCAATTGGTATCTCCCTGCAGGAACTTGCAAATAAACCTTATGAGGTCTCAGAAGTGTTGAACAATTCATTCTGGTTGGAAGATTAAATATGTTGTGGCTTGGCAGTGGCAGAGATCAGATCATCAGGTCTGTTACCAGAATGGCTAAATGGAGGAACCACAATTATTTTTATATGCAAAAATTGATACGCTCACTGACTTCCTTATCTAAATACTGTTAAGTATCATGACATACATTTGAATTGTTTTCTTTTTTTAATATTGATTGTCCTCGTCATGGCATTTGGATGAAGTGCCTTTTTAAATGACAAAAAAATTCTATATTTGACATGTTGTATGTGGTCTATGTTCATTGTGTTCATTATTATATGATTATTTGTTTGAGTGAAAGTTAATTCCTGACGTTTATTCATGTAGTAAATAACAGTAATGCAACATAATCACACTTTCATTTTGCTTCAGATAATTATTTTAGGTGTGTTTTCATTTATTGTGAATAATACTTTTCTTTACGTTTATTAGCATAAAACACATTCAGCTGTTGAAAATGTAAACTCATTGCCTTGCAAACTTTAAACTGAGACACATTTTGTAATGCAGTCAGTGCGTTGTCGTAACAACAGCCATGCTAGCTGTACATTTTTAGTTTGCCGTTTGTTAGTCATAGGATACTCTGCCCACCAAGTGTACAAATGGGAAGGGTCTTTAAGTTGTTCATTGATTTTGTGCACTTGTCGGGGAAAGTGTGTTTGTTTGTGTGTGAACTTGAGCTGTGTGTCACCAAAAGAACATGTGTCAGCATAACTGAATATGCCCAGGTATCAGTGTTTGAGTAAGCATGATGGTGTGTTGCTGGTTGTGTGTGTGTGTGTGTGGGGGGGTGTTTGAAATGCTTCTACATTATTTATGAGATTCACACCAAGCTTTCCATCTTTACAGCAGGGGGTCATTGCTAACAGATGGCAGACACACACACACTTTATTGAGTACAGCACAGGCTTGTTATCAGATGTCCAACTACAGCAGGTGCTGGAAAGTTCTTGGAATTGTTTCCATTTTTCGATAATTAATAAGGGTGCAACTTTTAAAAACTGCCTGTGTTATTATTAATTTATCCTGCTTCAATTTCTTTCCTCACATAATGTTGTGGCAAAAATAGAGCTAAAAAGAGCTCGACGCTCGTGAACTGTCAACAGGAGGGCGGGGGAGCCTCGCAGCGGGGAAGCAGTGCAACTTACTTGATGCCGAATTTAACAAACAAATTTAAATAATTGGTTTGAACGGCATAATAATAAGGACGATCGTCCGTTCTGTGATTCTCCAGAACACACATGGCCAGTCCGCCCCTGTGTAGCATGTTATTTCGATGAGAGATGAGCAGATCGCCACTGGGCTTTCAACTAAAGACACAGCCACGCAAAAACTGCGGCATTTGTACAGCTCCTTATGGGTACTGCTGCAATTTGTGAAGTGTTTTCCTCTGTGTTGAAAAGATCTGCACTGCACCGCGGTGCACCAGAGGAAAGCGGCAGAAAGTCACCTGGAGTTAAAGAGAGCGGGGCTGCGCTGCGTGCATGGCTGTCTTCTGCAGGTAACGGGGAGACGCGCTCTGGCGGTGGTCTCGTTCAGGATCCGAAAATACAATTTAAATATTTTGCACACTTATTCCACTTATTCCTAGTGTGCCACTGGTTACGGTGCCGCGTGCCAATGGTGGCACGCGTGTCAGGGCTTGCCGATCCCTGCCCTAGACTAAGAATGCTTCATCTAAAATGTAATACATTTCAGTGATTATTTAGTTTTATTTAAAAGGACCCACACCTTTTCTAACGCCGTTTCTGTCTCTCTTCCACAGGATTGTGCTGGGTGTGGGCAGGCTTGCTTTTGCAAGGAAATGATTCCGCATGAAGTGCGACGCACTCGGCCCCCCGTCGTCCTCGGCGGCAGCAGCAGGTGTGACGTCGTGACTCTCTCCCCTCCAGCTCTGAGCTCACCCTCCAGCCGCTAAACACCTCTGGACCAAACAGACCGCCCTACCCCCCCTCTCCCCCCACCCTCCAACCCCCCTCTCCATATCTTCATCTCCATCTTTAATCCCTCCTCACCTGCTTGTTAGGGTCTGGATTTTCCTTATCACCCTGATAAACATCGGGCTTTGGTGAACAAGATAGAAAGAGAGTAGAGATTTGGAATTCATAGCTTATTACGACGAGACAAGTGATGGATCATCAAAAGTGAGAAAAAGGAAGGAAAGTGAAATAAAAAGTCAGAAATAGAAAAGAAAAGCAATAGAAGGCCAAAAGTTAAGGAACGATAAGCAAGTACAGTTTAGGGACGTGAGGCGTAGTCAGCATGAAGTCCAATCAGGAACGCAGTAATGAATGTCTGCCCCCAAAGAAGAGGGAGATCATCTCAAGCACATTACCCTCTGAACTCCGCTCCCCCAACATCCCCCCCGCCAGTGACAGCCAGCGCACAGAGAACATGGCCTGGCTGGCCAGCGTGGCTGCTGGGAATGAGAGTGGAGTGGGCGGTCACCGTAGCTCCAGTCAGTCGGACAGCCTGCAGTATAAATCCCTCTTCTCCACCTCGGACTCTTCATCCTCCTCACTGAGTCTCGTCTCATCTCTTCCTACAGTGTATACGTCCGCCCTGTCACAGTCCACTGTTGGAGGAACTGTCCACTACGCCCAACTGCCTCCCAACCTGCAGTTCATAGCCTCACCCTACAGTGCCCCATACGCGAGCTACATCTCCCCTCAATTGCTTCCGCCTCCTCCTCCACCTCCCCCCCCTCACCTCCTCTTCGTCCTCCTCTTTGGCCGCGCAGAGACACTCGTACACAGAGACAGTGTCTGCTCCTTCGCACGCCTCCAAACACGACCAGCAGAGAGCGTCCTCGGCACGCGCCTCCATGCCTCCGCCTTCGACAGACCTCTACCCTCACCAAGTTCAGATGTCAACGTCAACACGGACTGTGCCGTCACCTCATTACCAAGGAGGCGTCCACCTTCCTCTCCAGTCACTGCACCCCCACCATTCTTTGGGACATGGGATGTCCCAGCTTGTGGTGCAGTATTCGGACGGACCCACAAGGAAAGATGAAGGTGGCTCCAGACACAGAGAGCACCACAATGGAGAGCTGGAAAGGGGTCGGCGGTTTGGAATGTCCCCCGAGTCCAACCTCTCTAAGCCAGGGAGCAAATCCCGGGACGCCACATTGTCTTTGTCCTCTTACGAGGCCCGCCAGCTGGTTCTGCACTCAGACTACGCCACTCACGATCACTCAGGGCTGAGAACCTCGTTCATGCTGATGCCCAACAGCCATGGGGACCACCAGCTGGTACAACACAGAGCCGGCAACGAGAAGCTGACAACCTGTGCCCCCGCACACCTGGAGAAAGGTGGCATCATCCTGGGCAAGCCTGTCAATCGCACAACCTCCTCCTCCAACACCTCCTCCTCTTTCACGTTTGCATCCCCATTAAGTGTGGACAGCCTGAAAGCTGCTGTCAGCACACTGTCACCTCAGACCGTCATCCAGACCACCCACAGTGCCACAGAGTCACTGTCAATGGGTCTCCCCTCCTCCAGTATCTACCCTCAGCCACCTATAATTGGGTACATAGCAGGGGGCGCTGGGAGCCATACGCCGATCAGCTATCACACCAGCCTACAACAACACTTACTCATTCCTGGCACCCAACCAGTCATTATCCCTGTAAGTGGAAGTGGAGTGGCCACATTGGAACCTGTAACCTCCCAAGTAACATCATCTAGCCAAGCCGCCTCGTTTCCTACCAGACTCCCACACACATACATTGCGGCCCCCAAAGGAGAAACTCTAGAGCACCACGGCGGCTCGTATCACCAGAGCGTTTCAGGTGCAGTGGTCCAAGCCCAGCTTCATCTCCCCATTTTTCCCGCTCCGCCAGGGGTGGTCGCGACTTCTGCTCCTCCTTCCTCATCCAGTACGGGGGCGCCCCCATCACTCCCCCCTTATTTCATCAAGGGCTCCATCATCCAGCTGGCCGACGGGGAGCTGAAACGTGTGGAGGACCTGAAGACGGAGGACTTTATCCAGAGCGCTGAGATCAGCAGCGACCTGAAGATCGACTCGTCCACAGTGGAGCGCATCGAAGGGAGCCCCGCCTCACACAACTTCGCTGTGGTGCAGTTCTCCGTTGGGGAGCACCGTTCACAGGTGAGAGACAGAGGTCAACATTAATTATAGTCTTACGTTTATATTTTTTTAATATTCTTTTACACTTTGAATGTCAGTTGAATTGATATCACCCTCATGTCTGTGCTTAAACTATGGAGCTAAAGCCATGACTCAAAGCAGAGCTGTAAATATGGCTTCTCACACCTCTAAAGCCCACTAGCACACAATACGAAATACATTTTGTTTGTTTACAGATTAGTGATAATAATAAAGCTTTAGAGGCAATATTAGTCGTTTATTTCAAACTTTAGAGCTTTGTTATCTCCCCCCTGCCTCCAGTGTTTATGCTATGCCAACCTAAGCTAATCAACTCAGGGCTGTTTCCATTGGCAATGCAGAGACATAAGATTGAAATCGATCTTCTTTTTTAATTCCCTCCAAGGAAGTGAAACTAGTCCTTTAAAGCCTGTTCTTTATGTGATTTTACTTGATAACGCTTAATGGCCTCATTATGCTTTGTGCATTACGGCTCAGTGAAACAGCAACTCCTATATTCAGCCCATTACTGCTGTGTTTAGTCCTATAGGTGTCTCTATAGGTGTGAGTGTGACACACTACATCCGCAAGATTTCTTAGAAGGCTTTAATGCATGCTCAGAGTGTGTGTTATTAATGTTGAATGACAAGTGTTGAGCTGCTCCCTTATTAATGACTCTATCATAGGTGAACCTCACAGGACTCCTTTCAGATTAAATTAACTTCAATGTACTATGATGGCAGTGATTGAACAACCATGTTCTTATTATGAGCTGTAGAAAAGTTCAAAGAGCAGAGTGTTGGATATCTACTCATTAAGTATTCAGTGAAGCACGGAACATGAATGTACTGATATCACATTTTTGCTGCTACGTGTAAAAACCTTTTTTAACTACGATGTTTCAGTAATCTCCTAACATCTAATACTGAGCATTGATTTTATCCTTTTTACTTTCTCCCTCCAACTCCTTCAAACACACACATTCTCACTGTCTTTGAGTGTGTGCGTTAAAGCCAGTTAATCCATTTCATGTGTCCACGCTGTGACTGGTCCACCACCACAGCGCATCTCTAGTCCTCTCCCGCCCCCGGCTGCTCTTTGATACTGTACCCCACAAAAGCTGACAATCTTTCAAAGACTTATCCTTCTCTCTTGTACTCCATCAGTGGCTCCTTACTTTTTCTTTTTGGAGGTGGTAGCAGCTTTGAGTCCACACTCAGAGGACTAACTCTAAGAAATCAAGAATTATGTAATAGGGTTGGGGAAATGATGCCTGACGTTTCCTTTGAGAGGCTGTTTGATACATCTTGCACTTGTACCGTTCTTAACATTGTTCTCTCTCACGTTCACTTCCTCACTCCTCTTCTTGTTCTACCCGCCCTTCCTCTGTACACTTTTCATCTCCCTCTCAGTAACTTCTTCCACTCCCACCTTCTCATTCTCTCTATTTGAAATCTTTCACTTCATATGTTTTGCTCCCTCGCTCTACACATCACGTCTCTAAGCCTCCTCTGCTTCCATCAGTCATCTCTTTATTCTCTCATACAAATTATAATGCTAATCTAAGTCAGCCCTTTATGTTAATAATTCAATTCAGAACTGTAATCCCTTAAACATAAATATGTTGCATCCTCTTCATCAATTTTGTGTAATACTTCATCTTTGGATTAGGCATTTTCTCTTGAAGTATGTTGGTAATCTTTTTTTTTAACTTATGTTCTGCTTCTATGCCAACAGTATCCAGCTGTGCCTCTAACAAACCAATCACTTATAACATAATATTCTTTCTGATTTTATGAACAACATGTCCCAGTAGTTCTTTCATTCAGCTACATTTAGACACAAATAAAGTCCTTGTAGCCCTGTCTCTGTCCTTGGTTGTAACAAAAGAGGAAAAATAAGGATAGATGGTTCATTATCACTGCAAAGCAAATCTTATAAAACCACATCCACACAATCCTAGTGAATGTTTTTGAGTGTTTCCTAAATAAAAATGTAATCATTTCTAATGTATAACTGTTAGATTTGAAGTGTTTAAGGGCTTTAAAGACAAGCTACTTTTTGTATTGAAGTATTCTTGTGTTTATGTCCCCCCCCCCCCTTCCCTCTCCTCCAGGTGAGCGTGGAGGTCCTGGTGGAGTACCCCTTCTTTGTGTTCGGCCAAGGCTGGTCTTCATGCTGCCCAGACCGGACCACGCAGCTTCTGGAGCTGCCTTGCACCAAGCTCTCTGTGGGCGACGTTTGTATTTCCCTCACCCTGAAGAACCTGAGGAACGGATCCCTGAAGAAGACCCAGCCCCTGGAACTGGTTACCCCTTCCTCTGGTTACCTCAAACCCCCCAGAGCTGTCTCAGAGCGGGAGAACGGCATCAGCCAGCGAGGGAGCGCTGCCAGTGGGAATGGAGGCACCAACGTGGGAAACGGGGATCTCATGTTTGGGGAAAGAGGGGCACTTTCTAAAGGTCAGGTTTCCAGCAGTGCACAAGCTGGCGCCAGCAAGCCATCAGGAAGCAGGAAGAGGAGATGGTCTGCTCCTGAAGGTCGGAAAGTAGACAAATCAGAGGAGGAGCCACCTTTGACCCTGCCCAAACCTTCCTTCATCCCCCACGAGGTGAAGGTCAGCATCGAGGGAAGGTCAAATATTGGCAAGTGAAGCGCAGGACTGTATATTCATCCATTGGGATTAGGAAAACATAAATGGACTCTACAAGAAAACATGAATGCCCACATTAATGTTTCATTCGTCTTGATTTTAAAGTTTTGTTTTCCGATTTTATTTTTCTATCTTGAATACTGTGCTGTAGTGGTAAATGTACCCTACATGGTATCACCTTAAGTCCATGTAGTCAATAACACATGTTTTAATAGTTGGATTTGATATCACTTGAGCAATCGCTGCCGTTTCTGATGGTTTTCATGAGATGACCTATGGTGAGGGATTTGTGAGGTGTGCTAGATGTTTATTGGTTGCTGTGTGGCACATGAAGCAATGCTTGATGGCTCTTTTTGGCTGGCTACACATTATGGACAAATTGAATTAGCTCACAGTTTAGACTCTTGACAGTGATTTCACTTCCTGTGCCTGGACAAAAATACCTAAATGTGATCCTGAAAAAAGATCCTGAGTTTAAAGGATTTGTTAAAACCATAACTATATTTTTTTCCAAATCAGAGTGGGAGTTGGGGAAACAATCGTTCTCCCTGTGGGCCGGACCTATGCAGTGATGTCATCAGGTGTTGCCAGTGTGCCACACAAAAGAGAGGGAACAACACTCACTCTGTTCAGTGCGATGACGGTGGAGTCCTTCATCTTGAGCGTTTTCTTCTTGTTTCTCATAATCCACTCGTATTCTAACTCACATGATCCAATGATTGTCAAAAAAACGTAACCAGGGGTCATTAAGTCCTAGATTTTGAACCTAGGTGGGTCAATGTTAATGTATCAATGTGAGATACCCTAACCTAAAGCATAGAAGTGTGAACACACTGGGTCACTTCAAGAAAATGTCGAGAGGAAGACAATCCTCATGGTTTTTGATGAATTACTTTATACTTTTTTATGGAGAAGTGTGTGAGAGGACAGAGAGAATCAGCTCTGAGAGGGTCAGGATGTTTCAAAGCACTTAACACACCTGTCACACTCACCATACAGCCGACACATTGGTGTTGTCTCTTTATTAACGCAGTACTGTATGTTTTTAGATTATTTTTTTTTGTATTAAGACGAGGGTAGAAAGTAGCAACAGCACTTTGGAAAGTTTAAGCTTTTGGAGAAGTGAAGGTGGGAGCGGATGTGCCATGGGATCACTAAGAGGAGATGATTGTATCAGGTATTGGAGAATGTTTCCAGTTAGTAGACAGTTAGAGAAAAAATAATGTTGACAAAAGGAATTTAGAAGTATGATGGTTCTCAGCATGTGCACTTGGCCAGCCAGCCAGCCATATAAAGGTTAGGGGAAAGTATTGGAATGTGTTTTTGAAAGTTCAGGATCTGGCATGAGGATTAACAAAGAACAGGCTTTTGAAATATCCCAATGATGTTCTGTACTCGACTGAGAGCATCGATTAGAAGCTCACGCCACAGAATTTTGAGGGTGTCATATATTTGTAATGTGTGTGCGCATGAGGTTGGGTCTGTGTATGTCCGTACAAACGCTTACACAAACTCAAAACAGTACACACCATCCCTGAATGACCTGTAATATGTACTGTATCGAGACGAATGCGGACGCTTTGTGGTCCCTACTGCAAAGACACTAGTTGAATGGATTAATGCACAGTACAGTACAGTAGAGTGGTGTGTTTGTGTACCTGTGTCAGTTTGTGTATGAGTATGTATACTGTGTATAGCATAAAGGTTATACTCACTTGATATATAGACAATGTTAAATGTCCAGTGTTTCTACTTGGAGTCGTACTTAATAGAATCTTGCAATTTGCACATCAGGAGGAGGGAGAAGGGTGGAGACGTGATGTTGAACCGCCCGGTCCTGAAACGAGCCCTAGACCACGTGACACACTGGAGGAGACCAGGGTCTTTGTTCCTCAGCAGGCACTTGTCACATTATAGAGGAAAATAAATGCAGTTAAGGTCAAATTACATTTTTAGGAACATAACCTTAGCTGTAAAACAGAATTTTAACACGTGCCTGCCTACTGAATTTACTGACTTAAGATATGCCATTTATCCAAAGGAACATTTTGACTTTTTGTCCACTTTTCTGCTGTTGAAACCAGGGTGCAGGGACTATGGTTCAGTTTTGAACACGGCCTGTGCTTTCAGTCAGCTGAAACCCTATTTGCGGCAAACGATGCAGAAATTACCTCAACAGATACGCCTGCTTGGTTGTCCCAGAATGTAACTGTTTTATTAAACTAAATTGGCAATTCTTTTTAAATTCATCAGTGGAGTCTGGGATTTAAAGATGTGGATTCTTGCAGGCATATCTGTTGAGCGTTCTCCTCAGCTTCTGCATTCAGGTATTGGTATAGAGAAAGTCGTTGGTTGCCTCTTAGAAGCATATCAGTCAAATTTGAATCCCACTGATAATGTAGGTGTTGGTGTGTTGGGCAACGCTTCAGGTGGTGGGAGTTTACCGGGGTGATGGTGGGATGGATGTGTGCTCAGATGGATGAAGAATGTTTTAGATGTTGATGGGGAGTGAATGAGTAGACCCCTTATGGGATTTGAAAATGCTTTATTTTTTTACAATAAAACGGGGTTTCACAAATCAACCCCACCACAGTGCATTTTCATTTCTTCCTTTTCCAATTGAATCATAATGATCATTACGAGTACAAATAGAAATATGTGTGTGTGTATGTTTTGCAATCTGTGTGTGGCTGTGTTTTGTAAATGTCATACACACAACCCCTTCCCAACAATTGTAAAAATCAGAACCACAACATGTTATCAAACCTTTCATCTGCTTAGAGCATTTTTATGTTTAGCCAAAGCCAATTGATGCTGAAGTTTGGTTAATTTAGAAAGCAATAGTATGACTAATATTCAGGCAATCTCCTTGTGTATGAGTTGAACACACAAACACAAACAACCACAGTCATTCCGCTCAAATTCTCGGCAATAAACATGTAATAAAAACCATCTAACATCGAACCAAAACTCCTCCTTTCCTCCTTATAGAGAATACAATCTTGCCATATATTATTAAATGTTTTTCGAAGCCTAAACCTGAACAAAGTGTTCTTCAGTTAGCACTATTCCCCTTATCATAGAGTACATTTTAACCTTAAGGAATTGCAGTTGCAACACCAGTTGCTAGTTTTTCAGGGAAGTGTCTCATATATGCAGTAACTGACCCCCAACACCTCACACGTCCCAGCTGGTCAGAGTCATAAACTCGAGCTGCAGGAGAGCAAAAGTCACATGCACCTGAAGTAACCAGCGGAAACCTCGTTGCCACGACTCCCGTAGTGACCTCGTTAACATTGTTTCAGGTACCCAATCATAGCCAGCCAGCCTCACACCTCCTCCTGAGGCCAAGCAATGGAATATTAACCCTCAACAACCGCTAGCTACCTTTCAGTGTGGCCTGGGCTGCCTGTCCCCCTCCTAACATCATCTTTTGATATTCGGTCTCATTTTCACCTCTTGCTTAAAAAAAAAAGGTCATTGTGTTTATACTTCAATGGAATTAACTATGAAACAAAGCAATCTGGAATGTAGACACATTCTGAATGCCAGCAAGGTTTCCTAATTTTTCGAGTGTAGTATTTTTCTTTTATTAAGATAATCCCAAGTTTGTATCCCCTTGAAATGTCCCACGATGTGCAATACTTACATGTATCCCTCCCTTCTTTGCTGTGCCAAGTGTATGTAGCATAGTCCTACTCCAGTGTATCATCCTTGTTACTGTCTGTCGATGTGTGCGTCACATCTGTAAAACAAGAGTCAGGATGTTTGTGAAGCAAAACAAACCCAACGGAGAGTTTGTCCGTACCTCCCTTTCCCTTTTGTCCTTGCGGCCTTTCTAAATTTGAGTGTGTGAGAGACTGTGTCGTACCTCCTTTGTGCATGCGTGTATGTCCGCACCATGTGTGTAGTATGTGTGCTTATGTTCACCTGATGGTGTTGTGTGTGTGTGTGTGTGTGTGTGTGTGTGTGTGTGTGTGTGTGTGTGTGTGTGTGTGTGTGTGTGTGTGTGTGTGTGTGTGTGTGTGTGTGTGTGTGTGTGTGTGTGTGTGTGTGTGTGTGTGTGTGTGTGTGTGTGTGTGTGTGTGTGTGTGTGTGTGTTTTCTCCTGTAATTGTCTGTGAGATCATAAACCCTGACCCTCGGCGGTTCATGGTGAAACCCGCAGAAAAAAAAGAAACCTCATTGCTTAGTGGGGACCACTTTTTGTACAAAAAAACAAAAAGGAAAAAAAAACAACCAACCAACAGAGATGCACATGTAAGTAGATGTTAAAGACTTGATAATGTTTCAGCACTTTCTAATCCTAGGATGGGCTTGGTCTAACCCCTCTGTCTCAGACCGAAACCTTGCCTAGGGGTAACATTCATTCAAAACAGACAGAGAGAATGAGAAAGATAAAAAAGGGGTGAATAAGGATGAAAAAGAGAGATGGTTCAGTTTAAGTTTTTGCACATCACCTCTCCGTAACCTTGTTGTGTCTGTCTGTGCTCCATCTCGCTTGGCGCCCGGCGCGTTCTTGGGTCCAACGGGCCGAGGTGTTAGGTGGTTCCTTGGTTCTTTTCTACTATAGGAAAACCTTTTCTCATGGAATGCATCCCTTCTTTTGTTGTGTTCGGGTTTGTTTGAAATCTTTTCCACCCTACACCAACCCGAGCTGTGATGTTTAGTTTGGTTTAGTTCACATTTTTTAGATCAAATTTGGCCTACGTGTTTGGCACAGCTTTGGTTGGTCGTGCGGTGTGAAAACGGTGCGTACAAACCTCAGCATTGTTTTTATCATTATCTTTGGTGCAGGAGCTTTTTCTGTGTTTTAGTCTCCTTGTAGCACTAGATATAATGTCAGGGGACTTAAAACTATGTAGAGAATGTGTCATTGTTGAGTTTTTATGACAAGCTTCCTCACTGGAGGAACACTGCTAATGTCTTTTTTTTTTTTATTGGCTTCTTGCACAATTTTACAAATAAAATGAATGTTGGTGTGTGAGCTTTGACTTTTCAGATCAGAAAAAAGGCATGTGTGCTCTTGTTTCTTGATGTTTGTACTTTCATTTTGCAAAAAGGATGTGTTTTTGGCACTTTGTTGTGTTTTAAAAGTGAACAGAATTCAATCAGGATTCCTTTTTTTTCTCTTTTTTTTTGTATGACGTCTCGTCAATGTCCATAGCGCTGGATAACCAACTCAGGCAGAAAGAAAAAAAAAACTTGTAGAGGCCCACGTAAAAGTTTAGTTTCACCCCAATCAATTTACATAGTGGGCTGTTTCATATGGGTTATAAGATATGTAAATGTATTACATATAATTTGATATGATTAACAATGTTGTTAATGACAATTAACTATGAATTATTATTATGATATGTGTATTATGCTGGAGATGGCTTGGATTACTCTTCAGTGTACTGAGCGTCTTTGTTCGGCCTCTCCGTACAACAAACACTTCAGCAGGGGACAGGCTGTACGGCTGGTGACCTCTGACCCTGCCCACTGCCACGGAGGGGGTGGAGCTTGTCTGTCAGCCGTGGCTCCGTTGATTCCCCCCCCCTGTTCTGAACACTCAGCCCTGAGGCCAGCAAACTGTCTGTCTAGATGTTTCTCTGCTTACCGGAGACACCAAGAACTGAACTGAAACTTGTTGGCCTATAAGACGGTAGCAGAGAAGCGGACATCAGCACAGACCTGCTCGGACAGTCTGGCCTGCAGGGGAGGGGCGCAGCAGTCCCAGCCAACTTGTTTGTACTATATTGTACTCACTAAGTCCCTGTGTCTCACCACCCTTTTCCTCTATAGCAATGGAGAAACCCTGTTGGTGTATGTATTTGACATCTGTACAAATGCACCTCTTTGAAAAAGAAAAAGAAACCTTGACATATCTGGAATAAATGGGTGTCCTGTGTCTTTATTTTAATACTAACACAAACAATGCTATCAACACTGTGATTTAGTTTGGCTTAAATTGAGCAGAAAACATCCCCCTCTAGTGTTGTATGGGCTACATGACATTCCTACTATCTGCAGTGATTAAGACATTATGTCACCAAGCTCACATTAGTTCTATGTTGCACTTTAAATAATGTTTCCTGTTTCGATTGTGTTTTTGCTTAACTATCTGCAAATGGAGAGGCTAAGCAAATACATTGCCCTGTAGGCTACAACCTAGCAAGTTTGGTTGCATTTCAATACATGTAAAAGTAACAGCAATTTAACATTCCTAAATTACTATTATATTTAGAGTTAACTAATCAAATAAAGTCAAATGGTGTTGGGTTACTACTATATTGTAACTAGGCATTGTTAAAATGAATATAGAAGGTTTCATCTACCTTAATAACTGATTAAGCCACCGCCGGCCGGCATGCTAAATTACCTTAATCCACAACCCAGTCTCATGGCATTTCGTGTTCACCAACACGATTTTTAATCTATTGATTCGTGTTCACCAACACGATTTTCCCCTTTTTTTCGTGTTGCACAGCACGATTTTAAAAGCAATGTATTTCTACTGGTAATATGTTTCGTGCCTGCAGCACGTCTTTTTCTCCGGTCGGGTCGTGGAAGACCGGAAGCTGTGTGGTTCATAAAAACATGTTCTTACTCAATATCAAGCCACAATTATTGCTTTTATTTTAAATCGTATAATTTCGGACTTTTGTTGCCGTCTGTGAGGAAAATAAATGGGGCTCAGAGCCTCAGAATACTGAAATCTGTATTTTTTAAATCTTTTTTTCCTTCTAATTTGTTATTCTTTTCAAAATAACACACTGTTATTTACTCACCAATAACACACAATTATCCTTGCTTTTATTTATTGGTTTAATTCCATAATCTCAGGCTTTTTTGGCGTCCGTCAGGAACTGAATTTCAAAATAAAAATAACCGGAAACAGACATAGGCCTCTAGGAGTTTAGGATGGCCGAAGACACTACACTACCCATAATCCCCAGCTATCGTTTAGGACTACAGTCCCCGTGATTAATCTTCAAACTCTGGGATTGGATGTTGGAGTGGCAGTGCGCCAAGGTTACACTGAGCGTCAAACAGCTGTTTGAAATGGAACGAAACCACGCCAGACTATCCAAAACTGAAATCGAACGCCCCCCCCCCCCAGAACTACACATGCTGGCTATTGTGTTTCGCAAAATGTTCTATGGGACGTCTCTACTGAACGTTTTCGTTTTTCCCACAATTAGAAGTTGCCAGTATTAAACACATTGGTGCTATCAAATGTCCATCCATCCATCTTCTCCCGCTTATCCGTGGTCGGGTCGCGGGGGTAGCAGTTCCAGCAGAGGGCCCCAAACTTTCTTTTCCCTGGCGACATCAACCAGCTCTGACTGGGGGATCCCAAGGCGCTCCCAGGCCAGCGAAGAGATATAATCCCTCCACCTGGTCCTAGGTCTACCCCTTGGTCTCTTCCCAGCTGGACGTGCCTGGAACACCTCCCTAGGGAGGCGCCCAGGTGGCATCCTAACTAGGTGCCCGAACCACCTCAACTGGCTCCTTTCGACGCGAAGGAGGAGCGGCTCAACTCCGAGTCCCTCCCTGATGACCGAACTTCTCACCTTATCCCTAAGGGAGACACCAGCCACCCTGCGGAGAAAACCCATCTCGGCCGCTTGTATCCGCTTGTATCCGCTATCAAATGTAAAACATATAATTAATAAATGGTTGAAAATCGCACATGACAGCTCATTGTTACTTTGTAATTCTACTCCACTACAATTCAGAGGTTAACCTGGTATTTTTACTCCACTACACTTATTTGAGTTACTTTGCAGATTCTGATTAATGATGTGAAATATAAACAACCCTTAAATCAGACTTTAGTTACACCTGAGTAAAATGCAGGTAAGGTGATTATAGTGCCAACAATCAGGAGAGATATTTGATAGTTGGCGCGTCGAAAGGAGCCAGTTGAGGTGGTTCGGGCACCTAGTTAGGATGCCACCTGGGCACCTCCCTATAGGGAGGTGTTCCAGGCACGTCCAGCTGGGAAGAGACCAGTGCTTGAATTGGAATGAAAAAGGTGCCAGTACTCTAAAATCAGCAACTTTTTCAAGTCAATTTTATATATACAGCCCACAAACAAGAATTTGGCTACTATAATGCTGGTGGGTTTGTCTCTTTACTACTGTATATTTTAGAAAGGTTCACTGTACTTAACATTTTTTATGATAGGCAGCGGATATGGCTAAAGCTCAGTAAGGTCAATATTAACTGAAAATATAGCAATCAAAGTCTAGATCTTCTGCTGAAGACACATGAAGCAGAGACCTTTCAGGTGAGAGCCCCTCTGGTGGTGTTCAACATTAATGACAAGGAAACAAAGCTCTGGTCAGAAGCATTTTTTATAAAAAGCTTTAACAAAATTAAGTATTTCTGTACATTTTGAATGCAATCTAACTTTCCAACTCAGAAAACGAAAAAGTGCCAAAAGTCTTCTCACATGGCTGAGCTGCTTTGCAATATACTTCACCACTGAAGAATACAAATATGTATAAAGTAAACTATGATGCAATCTAACTTTCCAACTCAGAAAAATGATAAAGAGCATGAACAAAGAACATGTAAAAACAAATGCAAAATGTGCACAATCTAAAATGAGAAACTGTAACTGCAAGTAACAAAGTCTGAGCCATGGTAAAGAGTTACATTGAACACCAAGCTGATCAGATAACTCCCTGGTTGGTCTGAAGTCCTTCTATCTCCAGGATCTGTACAAATCGGCACATTATGCCATAAGTCTTCTCACTGGGTGAGCTGCTTTGCAATATACTTCACATTGTTAGAAAAGGCTCCAGAAGGCCTTGGGGACATCAGTATCAGGGGCTGGAGCTGGACAGAATCTTTCATCAGCACTTCTCCTTCCCTTTGCCAGCCAGGACCTCACATACTGTTCCGGATTGAACTGTCCTAGTGATGGTCCATTACATTTAATGAAAACCAGGCTGGACAGTCGGCTGACAGAGAGAGCATTCCTTTTTGCAGTAAGGATATCGTTCATGCAGCTGAATGCCTGCTCACACTCACTAGTGGAGACAGCGATGGTTCGGACTGCTTTCAGTAGAGGCTCCATGGCAGCAGGTGTACGGGATGCCCTGGTTTCCTTGTATTCGCGAAAGCCCTGAACAGTCTCTCTTCTGTCCACTTTCAGCACTTCGCACAAACGTAGCACCTCTACGTCCCCATACTGTACGTCTAACTCCTCTTCAGGCCAACTTCCAGGATGGATAACTTTCATGTCCTGGATTAGCTGATTGTCCCGGGCCTCCCGGCCATGTAATGGGATTTCTCTTGTGCTGACATGAGAGGAGGTTGTGGAAGTCATTCTGTGTCTCAGATTCTCTACCATACTGCGGAAAAACTGACCTGCATGAATCTGTACAAGCCTGCCATTCTCACGCAGGGCAACACCCTTGAAGGACTTCTCAGCTAGAGCTGTATGAACTGTAGTCATGTGTGGGCCAGGCATGGTGACCATGGATTCAAAAACTCGTATTTCTCGAGTTAAGAGCCTATCTGCTGTAGGCAGTGTCATCTCTCTTTTTTGGAGTTGCCGAGAGAGGTCGCTGAGCTCTGTGAGCGCATCGTACATCAGTCCCAGATTGCTGACAAACGTTGCAGATGTGAGCACATCATCCAGGCCCTTGTACTTTGCTCTGTCTCTGGAATCCCTGCTCGTGTCGTTTGCAGCATTTGTGAAGTGATCATGAAGCACTCAGTAGTTTTCCTAGACTGCTCTGACGCTCCTTTCACTTGAAGCCACCCAGCGGATGGACAAAACACGCCCTATCACCAGGAGACGCTGTCCGACTGCTTGCGCACACTGCGCTAACTGCCTCTGATTTTTGGGGGAGGCATGGAACAAGGAATAGAGTTTGTCAAAAAAGATCTGGAAATGATTGAGCCCTGAGACCTCCTTGACCACATCCCCAACTGCCAGCTCTAGACGATGATTGGAGCAGTGCCACACAAACGGGCTTGGGAATTTACTACACAACTGGGTAGCAACGCCTGTTCTCTTCCCTAGCATGACTGAAGCCCCATCACATGCAAAAGAAACGAAACACTGACCTAAAAAGTCCTCGTTAAAATCTCTTCCAAGACACTCCATTAACGCCGTTGTTCCATCCAACTCGATCAGCTCCCAAAAAAAACGTTTCGGGCTCAGCATCAGCTAATGCTGAGCGTAGACACACAACAAGCACCGTTTTACCACTAATAGTGGTAGATTCATCGACCAAAACACAGAGTTTTCTTTGGTTTTCTGTAATGTCTTTTGCCATTTTTTTCTTCAGCTCATGAGCTATGTGGTCGATGATTTCGCCACAGGTTTTATTGGAGTGCAAAACCCTGCCCACGTTCAGCCCATTCAGTTTCTGTACATTCAAATCAATTGGCATGTCTGTGAATGGCCGGCTATGTTTGCCAATTTTATATGCCGTTCGAAAAACTCTGATAGTGGTGTCTAATTCAGATTTATGCATAGACTGCACTTGATGTTGAATAGTTTCACGTGAAGCAGATGTAAGGATGTCAGCAGCTTTTACATGGGCTTGTGATTCTTTATGTTCTTTGATTTTTTTTCTCAGGCTAGCTTGTTGTTTGCCCTTGTCAACACCGAAATGAGACACTGCACACTCACCCCATTCAGTTGACAGTTTCAGTCCTTGTCCAGTGTGTATTCCCAAAGATTTGACATCTCTGCATATCCGACATCCTAGCTTCTTATCTTTAAGAAGGAGCCATACATTGGTCTTGCAAAAATATTGCACCTGGTCCGTTGTCCAGCAGTCAGGTGCATCGCTTTGCCCGGTGTTGGTGGTGGCAGTTGCGCCAGCAGCAGCTAACGTTAGAGGCTCTGGAGGAGGCGGCGGAGCTAGTGCTAATGCTAATGCACTAGAACTTGGAGCAGGAGGATCAACCAAAGAAAGCTCCCCATCAGACACAATTTCCAACACAGGCACAGCATTCTCTGTATTTGAAGTTTCTTCCGGCGACAACCGCTGTCTTTTTGCACTTTTATTAATCCACGCTAACATTTTAGAAATGCTAATTTGTGACGTGACTTGCTTTCCTTCTCTCGGGGGCGTGCCTGCTCTGTTCTATCACTCTACATAGCCACCCACTGGGTGGGAGTTGCACTGCATAAACACAACACACGTGCATCTAGGTATGTAAATTGTAAAGCATTAAAACATGGTTTTACTAACAGTTTTCAGTATGTTGTTACTTCGGCATTATTATTATTATTAGTTTGAAACGTGTATTACTATTAAATCACGGTCAAATAGGTTAATTTTGACATAGTCGTTTCCACCACAGTATTTACATGGAGAAGATAAGCCCCGCCCCCTCTCCAGCACGTTCTGTTTGAATGACAGGAGTAAACAGCTGACAGCCGCTGTGAAACTCCAGCGGTTAGAGCGATGAGAATGTCCGTTCGGCACCTCATGACGCATCTACTGAGTACCGGGCGGCTGTATATATATATATGGATGTATAATAAGAACGGCGGGAGAGTGTTGAGTACTGGCACGGTGCATGAGTACCGGAGTACCGCCAGCATGCCGGTACTGAGCAAGAAGTGCCGGTACTCCATGGGTCAGAACCAGAAGTGCCGGTACTGCGTACCGGTGAGTACCGGCCCAATTCCAGCACTGGAAGAGACCAAAGGGTAGACCTAGGACCAGGTGGAGAGATTATATCTCTTCGCTGGCCTGGGAGCACCTTGGGATCCCCCAGTCAGAGCTGGTTGATGTGGCTAGGGAAAAGAAAGTTTGGGGCTCTCTGCTGGAACTGCTACCCCTGCGACCCGACCACGGATAAGCGGGAGAAGATGGATGGATGGATGGATGGATGGATGCTTGAGAAGACTAAACATTTATCTGCAATTGACATGAATGGAAACGAGTAATAAAGTATATTCATTACTCATTATTCTCTACTAATAGTTAATTAAAGCCTGTATATTATGGCTATTTTGCACATCCCTTTCAAGATTTCAAGATTTTCAAAGGTTTATTGACATATCATATACACACAACAGGTGCATGCTGGGTGAGGACAACATGCTAAATGCTAACATGCTCGTATTGACACTCTCTAAACTCTTTGAGAAATTTGAGTCTGAGAGGCTTGGATAAATTGTTCTTTTTAATGAATTTGAACCTTGAGCAGATGGTGGAGGAGCACACGGTGCATCATACTCAGAAAACCGTTCAGGCAGGTGAGTACAACAACCAAAGATATAAAAACATTTTATTTCTATGAAGACAACAAACTCACTGAACTCAGCATCAACTGCGTTGCCTAGTAACGTAGCATGTAGCATTTGTTGTGTGTGCTACATGACCAGTTTCAACTAGTCGTCCTTGCTTTTGTGTGTTTGTGTCTGCAACCATCGTGGAGTTTATAATGTATTTACAGTTTTCTGCTGTTGATACTATAGCTTAAAATTACTTGTTGCTGCCTTGGTGTTCATAGAGGTCATTTTTGTTTGATTATCTGTGTTTTTTTTGGTCAAAGACAGCAGGGGGGATGTTGGTTACAGTTGATGATCAGTTCTATGCACAGGCTGCAAGTGTTTCTATAATAATGTAAGTTATAGTTAATGTTGTTGCATTAGTATTTAAGCTTTATGTACAAATATATTCACTTTAGTATTAGTTTTACTTGAGTAAAATGTTCTAGTGCTCTTTCTATGTCAGCACAATTGTTCCATAAAGATAAAGAAAGTTGCTGATTTTAACCTAGTGCTGTGCTATAATTAATGTTTGATCCATTTACAAAGTGCCTGTTATGTTTTATCAAAATACACATCACTTAACTGAAAGGAATTTCTAGCTCGCTGTGCTGGCTGCATTTTCTTTTTCAAAAGTAACTGCCTTAATATGGCTGTTGAATTAGATATAAGCTGTTCCTTGTATTGTCCCACAACCCTGATGTTCAATTAGAAAACATCAACCAAACTATACAGTGTATATGCAGGAAGAAGCACACTGATCATTCTCTGATGAATCAGGTTTATTTGCACCATTTTGTTCTTCATTGCAAAAACAATGGACCTGTGTTTTCCAGTATGTATTTTTAAATGTTTCATTTATTAGTGTTAAAACCTCTTTACATGAAATAAAGAGCTTCAATGAGGTAGAAGCCACAAGATGCCCTTGATTTTAAATGTCAGGCACAGTGGAATCAAAGAACAGGACTTAGACGAGACGGTTTTATACACACAGCAGGGTAAATCAAACATGTCAAACGATTGGGACACATAAATCCAGATGTCAAGATTTGGCTCAGTATTCCTGACACTCCCAAAATACATGCACACAGACACTGAGGAGAGATACACCATTATGTTGTCAATCCTCAGGAATATCTTTCAAATGTATCAACACCACTGAGGAAAATAGCAGAGGGTCCTGCATGCAGTTTATTGCGGCATGATTTCTCCAGTGATAGTTAAAGGGTGACATCTCTGGGTCTTGCATATTCATTTGCACATTCATTGTATCAAACAGTACAGCAGAACATTTTCCCCAAATGATTTTAGCATGAGGGCCAGCTTCCTCCTGCTGAGTGTGTTTACATGCAACGTGTTTCATATACAGTGGGGCAAAAAAGTATTTAGTCAGCCACCAATTGTGCAAGTTCTCCCACTTAAAAAGACGAGAGAGGCCTGTAATTTTCATCCTAGGTATACCTCAACTATGAGAGACAAAATGAGAAAGAAAAATCCAGAAAATCACATTGTCTGATTTTTAAAGAATTTATTTGCAAATTATGGTGGAAAATAAGTATTTGGTCAATAACAAAAGTTCATCTCAATACTTTGTTATATACCCTTTGTTGGCAATGACAGAGGTCAAACGTTTTCTGTAAGTCTTCACAAGGTTTTCACACACTGTTGCTGGTATTTTGGCCCATTCCTCCATGCAGATCTCCTCTAGAGCAGTGATGTTTTGGGGCTGTCGCTGGGCAACACAGACTTTCAACTCCCTCCAAAGATTTTCTATGGGGTTGAGATCTGGAGACTGGCTAGGCCACTCCAGGACCTTGAAATGCTTCTTACGAAGCCACTCCTTCGTTGCCCGGGCGGTGTGTTTGGGATCATTGTCATGCTGAAAGACCCAGCCACGTTTCATCTTCAATGCCCTTGCTGATGGAAGGAGGTTGTCACTCAAAATCTCACGATACATGGCCCCATTCATTCTTTCCTTTACACGGATCAGTCGTCCTGGTCCCTTTGCAGAAAAACAGCCCCAAAGCATGATGTTTCCACCCCCATGTTTCACAGTAGGTATGGTGTTCTTTGGATGCAACTCAGCATTCTTTCTCCTCCAAACACGTCTAGTTGAGTTTTTACCAAAAAGTTCTATTTTGGTTTCATCTGACCATATGACATTCTCCCAATCCTCTTCTGAATCATCTAAATGCTCTCTAGCAAACTTCAGACGGGCCTGGACATGTACTGGCTTAAGCAGGGGGACACGTCTGGCACTGCAGGATTTGAGTCCCTGGCGGCGTAGTGTGTTACTGATGGTAGCCTTTGTTACTTTGGTCCCAGCTCTCTGCAGGTCATTGACTAGGTCCCCCCGTGTGGTTCTGGGATTTTTGCTCACCGTTCTTGTGATCATTTTGACCCCACGGGGTGAGATCTTGCGTGGAGCCCCAGATCGAGGGAGATTATCAGTGGTCTTGTATGTCTTCCATTTTCTAATAATTGCTCCCACAGTTGATTTCTTCACACCAAGCTGCTTACCTATTGCAGATGCAGTCTTCCCAGCCTGGTGCAGGTCTACAATTTTGTTTCTGGTGTCCTTTGACAGCTCTTTGGTCTTGGCCATAGTGGAGTTTGTAGGTGACCAAATATTTATTTTACCGAGGAATTTACCAATTAATTCATTAAAAATCCTACAATGTGATTTCCTGGATTCTTTCCCCCCATTCTGTCTCTCATAGGTGAAGTGTACCTAGGATGAAAATTACAGGCCTCTCTCGTCTTTTTAAGTGGGAGAACTTGCACAATTGGTAGCTGACTAAATACTTTTTTGCCCCACTGTAGCTAACATTATTGTTTAAAGAGTTAAAAGAGTATTTTAAAATATCAGATCTGAAATGCTCATGTGAAAACTAAATGGTGTACATTCAATAGCATGCCATGGCTCTCTATGTAAACACACTCGATGTAGGGTTGAGATGATTATAGAGCTTTTATTCATCTTGGAGAATTATTGTCAAGGTTTATTTTAATCACAACCTGCAGGAAACACATGTTCTGAAGGCAGATATCCTGAGAGAAACAAGTTGATGTAATCATGTGGAAGTGTCGGTGTGAGTGTGTGTTGTGTCTCCTGTATGTGTTACACCACTGTCCTACGATTGGACGTTTAAACTCTGCATAATACCCACACAGTGCATACTATGCAACGTGTGTGTGTGGACATGAGTACGCCCTATGAGAGGAACATTTGGCTGGACTGTTGTGTGACACGAATGAAGGTGGTTCTCCTGCTCAGCTCTTTCAGCTTGGCGGCGCCCACGTAGGTGCAGGTGGAGCGGAGACCCCCCAGCACGTCGAGGATGGTGTTGTTCACATCTCCTCTGTAGGGAACCTCCACTGTCCTGCCCTCAGATGCCCTGAGTGGAGCAGAGAGAGGGGGATTGTAGTTAAAACAGTTAATAAGCTGAACACATATGAAAAGTTATTTAAAGGAGAATAGGAATCCTTCATGAACTTCTGATATCAGACTCTTACCTATACTCAGCAACTCCACCCACATATTTCTTCATGGCAGTGTCAGAGCTCATGCCGTAGAAGAGTTTGACTTTCTTGCCGTTCTTCTCGATGACCTCTCCGGTGCACTGGTCATGGCCTGCCAGCATCCCTCCCATCATCACAAAGTCAGCCCCTGCACCTGGGAAGCAAAGGCAGAGAAAACAGGATGTTAGATTTGCAGACCTGTACAGCCCAGTCCTTTCAAAAGAAGGTGTTTAGGTTGAATGCTTACCAAAGGCCTTAGCCACGTCTCCTGGGCAACTGCAGCCGCCGTCCTGAATAGAGAAAATACACAGTCATTGGTTTAACACACTGAATCACAGGTCTTACATTTTATTATTTTTCTATGGATGCCCTCTAGTGGATGTCATCAACATTTGAACCATGACAGCCTTTATGCAACAGTTTATTATGGACAATCAATATTGTCATTGTGCTTCAGTAAAGTAACTTCTTTGAGTCACTAATATTGACAATTATGACTCAATTATGACTCAGGCTATAATGTAAGGGTCCTTTTAAAAATGTGAGGACACTATTTATTCTCTAATACTTAATAGGCTGTAAAGACAATTAAATTGCCTTACTGTACATGAAAAAGTTATCTTTTTAAGATAACTGAATGCAAACAAACTTTTTTGTTTGTGATTTTCATTATTATATCTTCTACATTTTACCCATGTTTTTGCGGCAATGCATCAATAAAAGGCATAACCTGTTGAAGGATTGCATTTCGCATTTTTGTTGGTTTACCATTCATAGTTTTAATAACTATACTGTACACGTCAGTAAATCTGGCCGTCCCCTTTTATTTGTGTGTGATGTGTTGTGGGACTTACAGAGATAATGTGTCCTTTGAGTCCATGGGCTGAGTCTGCACACTCGATGACAGCACTGAGCTGGGGGTAGCCCACTCCTGTCTTGATCCTGGTCGTGCACACGGACCCTGCAACACACAGTGCACACATTAGAGGAATCCAGCTGTAACTGTCCCATCTGTGTTTAATAGATCCTGCTACAGGAACCTGCTGACTTAAAGCTCTGGTGCTGTCGGTTCAGGGGGATTTGCTACAGGCTGGATAAGATAATACGATAAGATGTACTTTATTGATCCCAAATTGGGAAATTTTTCGTTGCAGCAACATAAAAAAACTAGACTCACAGATACAGAAAAGAGCAGCTTATTTTAGAGATTCTATGCTTCATATAATCCAGCCATCTAATATGAGCATCTAAATGCCAGGAGATTTGTCAAAATAACGGTATTGACAATAGAGTTCTTTCTTCCCATTAAAATGTGATTTTATAATGGGTTGCTAAAACCAGTTGTGATGCATTAACAAAGGCTTTTCTACTGACAATGAAACCATTTACTCTATTTAGAACACCCTATCAGTTCCAAATCAAATCAAGCACTGTACACAAATTCAACCTTTATATTTAAGGCCAATCCTGTTCGTTTTGGCCCCTCCTTCTCAGTAGTGTCTGTGTGTGTTTGTGAAGCCTGTATACTTGTTGGTTTATTTAGAGTCTGCACACTCCTCAGAATATTTGCACACACACTCAGACAGCCGTGCACACCCACCTGGCCCGATGCCCACTTTGATGATGTCAGCGCCGGAGAGGATGAGCTCCTCCACCATCTCCCCTGTTACCACGTTACCAGCCTGTGAAGAGAGACAGCATCAGCCCTAAGACTCAATCTCACAGTACGTCCAATAATTGTCAGCCAGAGGGTGTTAGGGCTCTCTTACCATGATGGTATGCTTAGGGAACCTTTCTCTGACCGTCTTGACAAACTCCACAAAGTACTCGGAGTAGCCGTTGGCCACATCCAGACAGATGTACTTTATGACGGGGACAGCTTCCAATATGGCACACAGCCTCTCCAGATCTGCAACGCCACTGCCTGAACTCGCGGCTACGTGCTGGGGAGAGAAATAGAACATTGGGTTAGGGTTTTTTAGACCCTTGTGAATTAAAAAGTGTGTAATTTTTATCCTGATGCTTATGAGAAACAAACATTGGTGATATTACCTCCACACAATCTGGATTCTTAGCAGCAAAGTTTTTCCAGTCCTCCACAGAGTAGTGTTTATGAATGGCTGTGAAGAGGGTGTGCTAAAGAGAGAAAGGAAGATAGTGAAACAACATCAGAGAATTACATTTGATTTATTTGTGATGTCACTGTGGTTTCCTTGAAGTTTGGTTTTAAACGCAATATATTGAATCATTTTGGCCGTTACAATATGTTGTTCAACTTTTTGGTCGTTATTATACAGTATTTATTTTGAGGTGTTACAAAAGAATCATCACAAGCAGATGTCTAACTGCTTCTAGGACACCGTTTCTAATTCATGTCTTCTTCCCATGATTCCCTGCAACATCCTGTTTTATGTATCCTGATTGTACGTCAAAGTGTTAACTCACTTTGCTGAGGACCTGTGCCATTTCAAACGTCCCTGTGGTGTCCATGTTGGCAGCGATGATGGGGATGCCGGTGTACGTCTGCTTAGAGTTGCGGAATGTGAAGGTCCTCTGAAGGTCCACCTGGGGGGGAGAAAAGAGTCATTGTGGAGACTTGGTTATGAACAATAATCACAAGTGCTTATTTAACAGTTTAATTATATTTTTTTCTCTGGAGGAGAGGGGTTGCAGATTTTCTGGAGCAGCTAAAGTCGCTCATGTTCCGAGTCTTAACGGGGGGGGGGTCTGCTGAATCATTTAGATCCAATGGTTAGCTTAGCTATGTAATGTGATAAGCTACATGAAACAAACACAAACATGACCCTCTGTACCACACTAACTGCTCCTTTTACAGGAACGTATATCTGTCGTGATGATGCAAGTGTTAGCGTTGATTCTGTTAAAAAACATCTGCTATAAATAGATCGTATTCAAATGAGTTGACCAATGCACGAAGGTGGAGTTTCCACTTACAAAGTGTTTTTTTTCGAAGTCACAAAGAAGTTACACATCTTTTTCCTTCTTACAAAGGAAACGTTGAATTCAGAAGCAGTGATATGCACCATTGGGTGTTTGGCTGTGAATTGGCCTAGGACTAAAAGCTAGCTAATGTTACCAAATGAGGGATACATTTTGCTAATGGAAATAACTGAATCTGTGGATTGACTTTGTGACTCTTTTTTGCTTCTTGTGCTATACTGTTACACTATGAGTTAGCGATCTTGTACATGTAGCTTGTAGCTACAGTGCCCACTACTTGGCTTTTGTACATGCTTTGATCTCAATATTTGAGTCATTATAACACATAATCACTACAGGTTACAGAAGGTCGGATAGGTTGTCATTAACTATAATGGAAAGTGATTCAAACTGACTCCATTTGCTTAAATCCAACAGTTTCACAGTGCTGTTAGCTTTAGTAGAGTAGTGCCAAGACATTTATCACGCAAAACTACTTCAGCTGTGGGAATAGGCGAACAGTTTGTACCCTGCCATAACCTTCACGGTGGAATCTTTTTCAGAGCCACAGCTAAAATTAGGCTATAACTCATAATGGTGGGAGGAAGAGCAAAGTGGTGAAAGGAATATTGATGAGAAAGGAGGAGTCATATAAATCAATACCCTTCTTCCTTTTAATAACTACAATGACTCAGCAGGGTTTTCCTGCCTAGTCGCCAGTAGATCCAATAGACTCTAGTTATTCTTAATATTGATTGAATGATCTCTGATTGAGATTGTAGATGCATATGAACTTGTTATCTTTGCAATTTTTAATTAAACCACAACACCCACATAATGATTAATGATCAAAAACAAATTAAATATATCTGTGTTTCTTTTAACTCTAATGATGCAGTGACAATTCACAGTTGAATTAAAATTCCAGATTGAAAGGGAAACATTTCTGGTCGGTGGTGGTGCATCCCTGCGTCATTACCGACCATTTTACTATGTGGTCTCGTGTTATTGATGCTGTTCATCTGTTCTCCATACTGTATACCCTCAGGTGGACTTAATGCAGCTATAATTCAAACAAGAGCAGTTAGATGGATGCTTTTGGAGTGAACGGGTCATTAGACTTGGCTGTGGTTTCAGTATGCTGCAATGAAGTCATCGATCATATGTATCTGAAATCATGTTATTTGAGATATTTTCTTTATTATTTAGTGACTGTAGGAAAAGAGGATTTAGTGAAATTTCAATAATTTGGTGAGAGATTCAACTTGTATGACAAAATGTGCTTCTACTGCACTCCGTCTTGCTCCAAGTGATGTGTATTTTCTATGCTATTATCTGCATCAGTGTGTTTATCTATATAATGTTATCCACAGTGCCGATTCTAGAGTTTGTGGGGGCCCTAGGCAAACATTCACTGGGGGCCCCTCGAACCAGCTTTTCATCACCACGCACAGCCGACAGCAGTTATCCAGATACCTCTGTGGCATATGCACTGGTTGACTGCAACACTGTACTATTTTTAAACAGTTTTCTGAGAAGTGTCCTGTGTCTCATGTTGCTTACCAGACCTCAGATTGCCAACTCCCACCCCTTCAATTCAAGCTCTAGTGCCAGCACACATGAACTTAGTTCACTGATATAGTGACACATAATTATTCTGGAGAAGACAGTTTATTGTTTATAGCATCTGTCCGCACAGGCTAGCCTTGTTCTGTGTCACCTTTAAGAAGGTCACTCCGCTCTTACATGCTAATTCAGTGTAGCTTGTTTGCTCACAAAGTACAATGGCAGTGCCCATCTACAGGCTTACACAAGACAAGACAACAAAGCGGCACACACGCGTATACAATTACAGTGTGCGCTTTCCAGCTTCGGTGACACATCCTCTTAAGATCAATTCATGTCATTTCCTCTGCTCTGTCAGTCAATTTTCATCTTCAATAATGTTAACACGAGTGCAGCAAACAGGGTAAGAAGGCCCTAAACGCTGCCCCCCACCATCCTCCCCCATGTATAAATAGTTAACATATTGCAATTGCGTCACCCAGCATAGAAGTGTACTTCCTGAATGCAGCACTAAAGGATTACACTGCCCCTAAGAAATACCCCAGTCCTATCAATGAAGTTGATTATAGCTTTTTGGATGATATGATCAGCTCACTAACGGTACCGACCTCTGAGCGACTCTTCAGGCTGCTCCTCTTGGGTCTGAAGAGGACATCCTTAAAGTCCAGCTTGATGTCTGAGTCCACGCGAGGCATCTTGGCAGCCCAGAGCAACGATGACCAGAGTGAGGTGGAGGAGGATGAGGAGTACAAAGAGGAGACGCTCCTGAGGAAGACTGCTGCAGCAGAGGTGGTGACTGGTCCCAAGCCCCAACCACCAAACCCGAACCTCCAGACGGCCAGCGTATTTATAGCAGTGGGGGGCCCAGCCCAGCCCCGGCCCCCATGGCTTTATTTGGGCCTGGACTCTCTCTCTCACCCTCTATCTCTCTATCCCCCTCTCGTTCTCCCTCTGCTCCTCCAGCGGCCTCTCTCTCTCCCCCCCTCTCCTCCAGCAGAGTGGCAGGAGCAGCAGTGGACAGGCTGGCTGGCATGCCTGATGCACACACACTTACACACACACTCTCTTGAACACACACACATGGTAGCACTGCAGTGGGATGTGTGCTGCATTGCTAAAGGGCACACCTGCTGTCCAGTCGGGGCATTGCTGCATACGCTAATGGAAGGCAGCACATAGAGAGGAGGGGGGGGGGGGGGTGGTGGTGTGTGACAGAGAATAAAAGAGGGAGGGAGATCCAGAGTTAGATCAATAGAAAAGTCATGTATTAGTCATGGTGAGTGTTCTATAGGGAACATCATGCTCAGTTTTTTCTTTTCTTTGAATGTGTTTTTAAATGGGTCTCCTTTTTTAATTGTTAATGTTTCTGCTGCTCTGCCATATATTATCTGTTATTATGACATCAACTATGCATACCAAATAAAAGAAAAATCCTTTAGTCATTTATTTTAACCATGTAGTTCACCAACAACTGTGACCATTTTGTTGAAAACAGGCTTGTTTTTCACCTCCACTCACATATAACTGAAGTGGATTAGGAGACATCTTGCGACCAGCAGTTAACATTTTATAATGAAAAATATTTGTATAAACTTAGATTCAGGATTTTTCAACATGGGAGAGGGAGCAGATCTAATAGTTTTTAACTAGTTAAACATTTGTGTTTGAAAAACCGCATCATACACAAACTATCATTAAGAAAGGTTCAGTAACCATGTCTCAGGGTGTTTAGTATTTAACTTCAGGTAATCTACAAAGAACAATTATCTACTCTTATTGTATTTGGAATATTATATACGCATATGTGAAATTTCAAACGTTCCTAAGTAAAGAATGTATGTAACAAATACAGAATACAACTCACAAGACGGCACTGAGAAGCCATTATATAATTATTTAAAAATGCAATGCAAATATGTCCATTTGACATGATGTTTGATCTTTTTCATTGCAGCAGATTCAATTAACTCCCCTACATTACCGCACATACGTACTGCATGTATTTCCCAGCATGTATCATTGTTAGTACACAGTAAGGCCAGTAGATGTCAGCACAGATAAAGAAAACCAATGAAGAGCAGCGTGAGCGCCAGGTTGAAACTCTTGTTAAAGTGTGTCCTGGCAACCAGACAGGCCTTTGTGATATGTGTGTCCCTTTGTCCTAGCACTGCTATATTGTTTCTAACTAGAATGTCTCTCCGTATAGGAAGCAGTTTTTCCTGAAAGTAAGAAAAGTGTGAAAATTAACTTTTTTCCGCCACAAAGACTTCAAGTGAATGAGGTTTACTCAGGGGAACATTTCAGTGTAAAGCCTGCATTTCCATATGAATAAATAAATCAAGTAAAAGTGATTTAATTAAAATGGTAACACATTGAATGAACGGAAATAATGTCTACACTGGGAGTAAATCCAATCCAATCCTCTCAATGGAAAGTACGGTCTAACAACAATTCATTTTATTTACAAAGCATACTTCTTGTATATGTAATTAAAGTGATTGTCATGTTGCAGTTTCTAGCAAAAGGAAATAATGTATTTTTGTTTTTATTATTCCTTCTCTGCTGTAACTGAACCTGTGTGATTCTGCTCTTAACATTCTTTGACAAGCTGTTTAAAATCTTTAAAATCTGCAAATTAAGGGATGCTTTAGCTTTAACAAGTCAGTTGAGACAACACTGACAAGTATGAAAAGTTAATTTGATCTTTTGTCTTACAAAGTAGTAAAACAACTTTTACTTATTATCTAGTCTTATCCATAGGGAACATTTCCTACAGTTCAACTTCTTCCAGTGTAATTTGCTTGCAAAGCTATACTTATAACATCGCCAACACAGTCTATAACGGACTGTATCAAACGGTCTTTTAAAAAAAAAAATCATGATTGGCACTGGATCTACAGATGTCTGACCTCATGCCTCAGTATATAACTGATAAGATAAGAGCAGTCCACAGCTATGAGAGAGCAGCCGCTAAAAGCCCACTGCTCTTTAACCAACAGTGCACGTCACACTGAACTGCATTATTAGATGCAGAAACGGTGCTTAAATGAGGTCAACCTTTTAAAACCTCTTCAGGCAATAAAATGGATAAGAAAATAAAATGTTGGCCTAATTTCTGCGTAAGACATATACCTTCAGTCAGCTTGTTGCCGTGGACTCTATAGTGTGCGTCTGAATTACAGGCCGAGGACGGAAGTAGGTGAAAGTGCAGCTTTTATGGCATGGTTCAGTCTCACTGTCTGAACGTGTACAATGTATTTAATCTTTAAGGTCATGTCCTGAAACGTAACCATAAACATGTATGGTTCCCACAACCTGTGTTTATAAAAGATGTTGTTGTGATCTGACATTCAGTACTCGTGGTGTCAGAGTGGCACTTGTGATGGCACTGAGGGAGTCACCCACTCCTTTAGTCTGGACTGAAACATCTCAACAATTGATTGATTGCCTGACATTTTGTACTGATTTTGTTAGTTCAGGTGATGAGTCCTCAGTCTGTTGTTTTGTTCACATCCAGACATTTATAGACACTTGGCAGAATGACAAACATAGATGGGATGTAGCGCTGCAGGTGTTTTTTTGCTGGCTTTTATTTGTTCAAGTGCATACTTAGATGTGGAAAACACCAACATTTAATATATAACTAATACTTTAACTTGTGGAGTTCCATTCTAAGTATTTGTACTTGTTTTCTACAAACTTAAGACTAGGTTGTTAGTTACCTTTTGCTGTCATTCATAATGTGGAAATAGGCTAATAAGTCATTAAAACAACCTTGTCCTCCCATTTTAAGATGTTAACATGTCCTGAGGTATATATTAGCACCAGACTTCATCATCACATAGTGAAGTAGATGTGCTAATGACAACACATAAATACTCTGCATGGTGAACATTGTTTAGCCTGGCACTGGCAGGCTGTTTACACTCTTCTAAAACCTTGGCATGCACGGCATACACACACACACACACACACGCACACTGGGCCCTGTATTCAGTTACCATCTGACGCTGCCATCAGGAGGCGGGCTCTGTGTGCCCAGAGGGAAGTTATCCCTAACACTTTCAGAGAGCTGCGTTTCCCTTGGCTGTGTGTCATTGGGCCGAGCAGATGTGAAATCCACATGGCAGCGTGTGGGTGAAGTTGTTGAGAATCTTTGATGTTCTTTTTCCTGGCATGAGTTGAAATGATAAGAACTTAAATATTCTATTTGTTTTCTACCTGAGTTGCTCAGGTAACGGGGGAGAAGAAGAACCTCCTGCATCAGGGAATGTACACTGTGTGCGGTTTTTAGTTTTGAAGTGATGAACTGGAAAATAAATGCAGGAGACAACATCAAGCTGAATGTGGAGCGCTTACTCTCTCTCAGGGTTCTGCTTGGACTACACTTAAACAGGCATCCATGTACAATTAATAACAAACTCCAGCTCTGGAGAAGTAGGTCAAATTCCCTTAAGGGTTAGAAGAAAGCATGGCAAATCTGCTCAGACACGGTTTGATATGCAGGGGAAGGAGCAACACTTTCTTTATTCTCTCCTCTTCTTTGTGCTTCATAACATCAGCTTGTTATATAACTGGAGTGTACATGCTCAGCCTAATTCTAAAGCATGTGTTCTAAGTCATAAACAAGTGCCCAACCCTAACCACAATGCAGTGGTCAAGACACAAGCCTCAGATGGTCTCCACATTATCATCAGCCAGCTCTTTCATAATTGGTGGAAATGTGATTGTTATTTCGACGTGTCCCAAATGTAACTCTTATTCCCCGTCAACATTGGATTTGAAGTAAACAATCATAAATCATAAATCTGTCATGAATTTGGCACTGATAGATGCGCACTGAGAACTAATTCCTCAGTAATGGCTGCTGCTCAGAACATCCTGCCTGCGTTTGGCAGTGGACGTAAAGGAAGCTTTCTGTACAGGACAAAAACATATGGGGATCTCTTAATTGAATATATTTACAACAAGGGATTTATTTAAAGGAAATGGCTGAAGGAAATGGCTAACTGCATGCGTCATCACTACATTCCTCTTCCATTTAATAATTCATCCCCTGAAACACCTTCCTGTGTTTTTCAGCCTGTGCTTTCAATTACGCCGTTTATATTCAAACACAGCACAACCCTGACAGGACTGTTATTTTTGAACCCTTTTAATCCGGCATTACCAAAATGTACAGCAGCTCAGTCATAGTCAGATAGAAAATTGGGTCACAAATCCCATTTTATTGACTTTTGCTCTTGGCTACATCCAAAGTAGAAAATGGGCATTTGCAAAAGAATGCCAATACAATCTGATACAGTAAAAATAATTGTTTGTGAATTTTTTTGGGGGCAAAATATTTAAATATATACTGTAAACTGTCTGATATATCATGTTTGGTTTTTTTAAGTTCATTTTTATTTGTTTCAAATCTTTAAAAGGGTTGTAAATGCCCCAAATATTAGCAGGCTTTTATTAAAACATGATTCTATTAAAGCACAAGTATGTCACAGATTATGCAAACACAAAAATCCTCAATCTTGAATAAAAAACACTTTCTGTTTCTCTGCCTCCATGTCACCACCCACTGCAAAATCCATTTTCTGTTGTATATTTTCAACAAGAGATTAATGCAGTTGTGTGTGGTATTTTAGCTACGTTTCAGATTAGTGTGTGACAACACAACATGTTCTCATGTTTTCAAATGTGAAAGAGCTTAACGTCTCTGCAGTGTTTCCATGTTTTTCCACTGCATTCTCTAGACATAATACGATAAGCTTATCCACCTGTATCCTGATATGACTGATAGTTTTCCTGCTTGTGCTTTGAGACTGGGTCAGGCAGAGAATCAGAGCAGAGAGGGGTCATGACCTGACCAGTTTGGCCCCGTTTGTGGCTGTTCATGCATGTGAATCTGTGTCAGTTGTTGATTGATTTGAACATGTGTCACTGTTCTCAGGCTGCAGCATGTCCAATGTACAGATGTTCCATTTTGTTTACTTGTGTTCCTGGGTTAAAGTTTAACTTTTAAGATAAAACAAATCTTATACTACAACCTGCAATGATACTTGAGCTCTGCCTGGCTGGCTGACTGACTGACTTCACAGCACTCAAAGGTCTCTCCCTCCTTGCTGTCATCAGTGTCCTTGGAGTGTGTTTAATAGCAGTGATGCATGAGGAAGAAAAAGATAGGGGAGAGAAAGAGAGAAGTATCCTCATCCAAAGGGTCATGAAAAAAAGAGGGGTTCAAACTTCAGAGACAGGATTTGAAGTCTGACTCATCCATTGCTGCTGCACTGATTATTAGCAGACGTTATAATCACAGTCCAGTGGAGCTCGTCATTTCTAATCAACAAACGGAGTCTGTTTCATCTCAACTCTCTCTCCTAGTCTGACAGTGACAAAGGACGTGTTGACCTTTCAGAGTGGGATTCACCTGGGGGGCCGGAGAGAGAGGGGAGAGTCACAGCAGGTAGTTGCTCCGCACAGCCTGACATTTAATAAGAAAACACGTTGTGCCCTTTCTCTTCTCACCAAGTGTCCTCTGAAACCACAAGAGCCAGATTGTTTCAAGACAGCAGGTTAACTGATTTATCGGGACAGCTTTGCAAATTTAAACTAAGAACAGTATGATGTCAACAGCAGTTTGACTAAGGGGATTCCAGGTTTAAAAAAACAACTGTAATACTTTTTCTATAGTTAAGAAACAGATTATATAAATAAAGACTTAATTTACAGAGAATATTTTGACAGCAGTTTGACTCAGTAAATCGGCTTAAGGGAACAACGTGAGTGTTTGAGTGTCGTGACAGAAATGACTTGTCAGCTAAGTGCAAGTTCAACTTCTTTTTGCTTGTTTACCCATTTAAAGCTTTAGAAAAGACTCATGGCCTTGGTAGACATTTGTGAGCACTTTTACCAAACAGGATGTTTTTTCTTTTCTGCTATTTGAGGGATTATCTCAGTCCCAAGGAGATGAACACACGCCGTATTTTGCCTTCACAAGACAAGGCAGGTTAAAAAAGTTGTTTTCCCTATCCATTTCACCCAGTGATCTTCGGCTCCACAGCCTTCCTGTCAAGGTTTTTTTATTTGATAAAACATGCAATAATGTCAGACAAATGCAGTTTGTTTTTTAAAAACTTTATTAATACTTTCTCGTTAAAAAAAACTGAATATATAAAAAGGATTTATTTCTGGTGGCTTTTGCTTCAGAAAACAGAAACAAATCGCTACTTGCACAATGTGAAACATAAAAGTCCTTCCCCTGCAGTGACTGAGCTTAATCGAGTCAGCGTCAAAGAAATAAAAGTTTTCCTTTTCTTACCAGAAAAAAAGTCTGTGGAAAGTTTATAATAAACACGATGTCACTGCTACATTAAGGCCAATCCCTCTACAAACATCCTTGGTAAAGTGACAATGTTTTTTTTTTCTTAAATAGTCTTTTGAAATTAAATAAAACTGAAAAGCTTTTCAAAAATCAAGCAAGTATTGCACAGACAGATCTCCTAGTACCCTTTTAAAAAATATCGAGACAGGAACTCAATAGTACACCCTTGAGAAAGAAATGTATAGCTGAGGTTTTTAGAGGAAGCAGCTGCTGTTGGAAAAATCCAACATCCTTTGTGAAAGTAAGATACTGCATTTCACACTCAAGGTCACATTTCTAGTTTGCTAAAAGAACCGCATTTAATCCAGAGATCACATAAAACTGGACCATGGTGGCCTTAGCACCCGATTAGTATGCAGCGATACACCCTGAGCAGCTGCTTAGCCTCCAAAGACCCCCTAATTGGCATAGAGAACATGAAGAACAAGAAATTAAATATGGATTAAAAACAGATTTCACTATACATAAAATATAGTTCTCAAATCCAAAAACGGAAGCTTTAAAATGTCAAATCGTTAAAATAAAGATGGGTAATGTGCATTTCTAAGCACATACTTTTACGATATGGTTCTGGGGCTAGGAGTCTGAAATGGAACGAAGAAAAAACAAATGAATAAAACAATTCTGTACCAGGTCAACTGATGCAATAACTTAAAGGACAATAAGAGCCTAATCTAAAATCATCTTGTGGCAGGGGCCGTCTTAAAATAAGATTTGGACAGATGACATGCAAACAAATACAAAGAACCAACAAGACAAAGTGACAATCCAAAGGGAAATGACAATAAAACACACGCACACACTAGTTGAGGGAGTGGTTTGAGTGTGTCCATCTTTGAATATGCTCACGAGCTTCTGAATGTTTGGTAGTTCTTGGATTCTGGGCAGGAAACACAGATGGACGAGGAATGTTTCTTCTTTCGTGAAACCTCAATCTGGCTGGTTTTGCTTCAAAGCGTTCGTAATTGAGTTTGGTGGAGTTGTCTCTATGTGTGGTAGATCTTGTGCTCGTACTCTGTTGCAGAGCAGCTGTGCGGAGAAGCCAGTTCTCTGTGGATGGGTGCGGGGGGGCTGCGGTGCTGGTGGTTGTCGGTCAGCGTCAGGTTCAGCAGGCTGGTGCAGGTGGGCAGGTAGACATGCTGCACGTGCTCCACCTCCGACCGACACACGGGACACAGCTGAGGGACAGGAAAGAGAAAAGTAGTAAGCATCGGGTGTTTGTTTGTTTGTTTACAAAAAATTAAGGACATTTGAGGTGGTTCAACTAAGGCCCCGGCCACACGAGGACGAAAACGGTCGTTTGCGTTACTGTTTAGTGTCATATAGACCGTTCGGCCACACGAGGACGACCGAATACGGCACTAAACTACTGCGGAAACGATAACGGGATCCTATGCGTTTAGCCGTTTTCGTCCTCGTGTGGCCGGGGCCTAAGACGTGAACTCTTTTACTGTCCCATAAACCTTTGGTAATATATGTCTATGCTTATCAAAGGGATCTTGAGACAATAAAGCCCTCAAGCACATTTCCTGGCCATTTCCAAGAAAGAAAACAAGTTAACAATGTGACAAATCGGGTCAACACACATTTCCCAGCAGATGCGTGACATTAAGCCAAATGTGTCAAAGCCAGCAAAAGTTAAAGGTGCAAGGCAAGCTAACAAAATAAGTAACCATTATCACACAGTAGGCGGTGTCACGGAAACTTGCTCTCAAATGAGTCGTGGAGAGGACTGTTGACTGCCATCAAGGCAACTAATGAGTCACCACTCGGGTCATCAAGCCAATGTTAAGACTGAAGGACAAATCTCCTTCAGAACACAAGCTAATATTAAAATCAGGAAAGCTTGTAATGGATTGCTATAATGGGAAAACAGCTTCCATAATCACGCTGAAAGCTGTGGAACTCCCCTTCTCCCCTTCAGTTTCTACTGACTCATGTTTCTTAGTAAATGGAAGTAAGGTCTGCCTGGCTGCTATAGTCCCTCCATAAGACACACTCACACACACCATCTGCCTTCAGAAAGAGGGGTGAGGGGTGAGCGGAGAGCAAGCAGAGCTTTGGATGTTGCTCAGAGGACTATAAAAAAGGATGGAAGTTAAAACTTAAAGTATTAAAGAGCTTTCGGAAAAACAAAGCAAACTTCACTTTAATAAAATACTGCTTCTAAGGTGGTGTTGACGTCAGCATATGCAATATATTTATATAAATAGTTATCCAGGGTCTATGCAGGAATCCTGAAGTCAAATGTAAGACCTTTTAAGACCTTTTTTAAGACCCTTTCCATACATTTTAAGAGCTCATCGCCACTTGGAGTTTTAACCGGTTACATTGGCAACACACTTTACCTCACATTTACTACAGTATTGATTCCTCCTTATCTTCCAACCATTTGGACGCAAACTTGCATTTCCCCATAACGATGTTGGTTAGCAACTGGCGTAAACGGACCTTCGCGTGCTATCAAGCAGTGAGCGTGCGATGTCCTGTTCAGATGACTTCAAATCCAACGGGATGCCATAAATAAACTACACAGAATCACACTACAGACCTACGCAACGATTACATTCAGGCAGACTTTAGAATACAACCTCTTTGGACAATTTATATACTTATTGAAAACAAGCTACAAAATGTAATACCTTGGAAAATGCCGTTTAATACTTTTTAATAGCCTTAATTTTCGCTAAATTTATTTATCAACTTTTAATACTTTTTAAGACCCCGCGGACACCCTGTTATCCACACAATAAACCTATTTAATTTAGTCTTAATTTACATTATTTCATATTCCGTTCTTGTACATATCATATTTACATGTATATAGACTTTTTGCACTACTTTTTATTTTTGTACATTATATGTTGGATTGTTGGAGCTCAGGTCAGAAGATTTTCATTGCCATGTCTACACTGTAGCTTTGCACATATGACAATAAAACCTTTGAATCTATAGCAAATACCAGCAGTGGTCATTTCTCAGTGAATATGACGAGTGGAAATGCTAACCGCACTAATGATTTATCATCATTTACCAACGTGGCTTATAAACAAACTCATCAGTCTTCCGGTCTACACACACAGAGAGGGAACAACAGTCTCACCTGCAGCTGGTTTGCGCAGGTCTGGCAGCACACCATGTGTCCGCAGGGGCAGAACGCAGCGTCGATCTCCTCCTCGCAGCAGAGCACGCACAGCAGAGCCTCCCGGAGCTTCTGCAGCCGCTCCTGCAGCGCTCTGCTCTGCTGGCAGCTGCCGCAGTCCAGCCCCTCGTCCTGGGGGTCGTCTCGGCTGGGGGAGCGCGAAGGAGAGGAGCGCTCGCCGCTGCTAGAGCCCAGGTCAGCGACCCCCGAATTGTAGAGGGCGCGGCGGGCTTGGTCGTACACTTCCTTGGAGGTGCGTCGGATGTCGAAGACGTACTTCTTGCCAAGGTTGATGTTCTCGTTGAGGAAAAGGGAAGCTAGGTGGCCCTTAAAGTCTCTGCTGTACTGCATCATCACTGCGTTGGTTACTGTGTCACACCTAGAAATGAAATAAGATAGGATGTGATTACAAAAATGATAAGACATGACTTCTACAGTCAGCAAAATCAGAGCATTTGAACATTTTACATTCAAGTACTTTATTGATCCCAATTTGGGAAATGTTTGCGTTGCAGCAGCATGAAAAGACAAGGTATAGTACATAAGAGAAATTAAAAGACTAGAAATAAACAATCCAAAATAGCATTAAAAAACAAAGTAAAAAATATACATGTGGAAATATAAAGCAGGATATTATATATACATTAATTGTGCCAGGAGTGGATAATTAAATTGAATATACATGTACAGCCTCTTCTTCCCCAAACTGTGGAGGGTCTGTTTATCCAATACTCCATTTGCACTTAATATCCAGGAAACTCATGTTCATCCTGTTGCGGGCCACCTTCACTGCTATGAGATAAATATTTGTTTCTGAGAAAGCAGGAAGAAGACATTCCTTCCAGACTGAGCTAAAACCCATCCCTGAAACAAAAGGACAGGGCTGTCTTTTGTACCTTTGTGACTGACTGACAACAATTTCATAGCTCAGCCATTTGAATTGTTCCTGCCCACTGCAAACTTCAGACAGACTCAAATCTCTCCGACTCTACTAAAGATGGCCCGGCACGATCTCCCTGTTCATGCACACTGATCAGGTCTATTACAGGTTTTATGGGTCCCACTTTGCAGAATGTGTACCAGCAGTTAGTCAATGTGTACAATTGTGTGAGAGTGCATACTCAGGAGCAACTAGGTGCTAAATAGAGCAGAACAAATGTGCACACAACACATTTAAAGGTCAGGTTTATGAATGGCTAACAGCTGTAGCGAAGAGCGTAAACAGACATGAAGAAAAACAGAAATCCACTGAGAAGCTTAGCCTAAAATATATTTTAATTGATATCTTGGTTCACCACATGTCTATATGATACCTTTAATTAAGTAAGGCAGTGGAACATTGAGTAGTTATTAAAAAGGCTTGAATATATTTAATTCTGACTGTACAGCTATATAGCCTTAGTCATTGATCTGGGTTTGAGTACAGTATGTTGTTTATCTCTCACCTGTAGAAGGCGTGTGTCTCTGTAATGGCTCGGTACAGACCGCTGGCTGCCCGGTTACTGATCAGCTTGAACAAAAGCACCACGCTGTCATTTGTGTCCTTGGTTACTGTCAAGTACACACTCTTCCCCGACTGGGTTGCAATCTGGATGATTGGATAGCTTATTCTAAAGATGGAGCAAAATGGGAAGAAACCATTACATGTTGAATATTCTTCAATAACCCATTGTCCTAAAACCCAAAAAGATGTATATCTGCAACATGAAGAGTACTATTAGTATAAAAATACACAGAGCTAATTGCATTTGTCTAGTTGAAACATACCTGTTGACTAAACTGAAGTCTTCCTTGCAAATGGCGATGCCTTCAGGGCCGACTCCAATGGCGAGCCGCTGGCCGTTTGCGTCGCGCGCCCAGTGCCACTCCACGCCGTAATGCTCCAGAGAGGAGACCAGCTGCAGGGCCTGGTACTCCACAGAGCCCGGGCCCAAACCCTCCAGAGCCTTGTGTCTGGAAATGATGCTGCACAGGGAGACGGGTGGGGAGACAAAGGAAAAAAAGAAAACCCTTTGAGTTTATTTAGCTTTAAAGGTCAGATTGGAAATATCGTTCTGACACAAGCTTTAGCATACAGATCACATTGTTACCATGGTGCAACCGGTGTGGCGGGAGTATTATACGAGCAGGATAAATAACACACTAGAGTGTTTTAGCTGTCAAAGTTAACACGCCCTCAGGCAGAGAACTGATGCTAAAATGGTTCTTTCTGACAACTATACTTATGAGATTAATTATTACTTATTGTAAGTCGCTTTGGATAAAAGCATCAGCTAAATGCAATGTAATGTAATGTAATGAGATCAATACTTGGGCAGCTTAGCTGAAAGCTTATTTTAGCAATAGCAACAGCCTGCTGATTTCAGACTGTCCAGGAAAATTGCTGGAAAATCCCAAATGCCCAGCTGTGGTACAAGTACAATTTGAGTATACTCTTATAACTGTAATACAAGTTGTTTTTTGGGTACCTCTTTTGTGTATAAAAAAACAAAACACAGTAGCATTCGTTTTTAAAACCCAACGTAATATGTATTTTACTCTAGTAAAATATTCTAGTAATCCACAATATAGAGATTATTCTATCAGATGTAATCAAAGTCATTTTTTGGAAGTGCATAGATACATTCTGTAAGTCTGTTTCAATGCAGCACATGTCAAATATTGTTATTATAGCAGTTGGGAGAGGAGGCTTGATAATTGGAGGACACCAAAAAAGGTAAACTTAACTAATGTGCATTTAAAAAAGAGGGATAGTTTCGGCGAAAACAAAAAAAAAGGTACCATGGGGTCAGATTAGAATTTTTCAAAGGGGGGTTCGTTTAGCATGAAACACTAGAAATAACTAAAGGATAAGTTAAAAAAAGAAAGTGAGCTCATAGAAAACTATTTCTGCAATGATTGACATTTCAGATGTGTGTGTCTCAAACTGCACTGTAACTTTTATCCATGTACCTTTGTTATTCATATTTTATTATCTTTGCTTTTAAATGAGTATTTTTAAATGCCATTTTATATATTTGCTTTTAAATTTGTGTTTTTAAATGCCTTTTTATTATATGTTTCTTAATGCTTTTCATTTTTGGAAAGCACTTTGAATTGCCTTGTGTTGAAAGGTGCTATATAAATAAACTTGCCTACTGTATTATTTAAGGCTCTCTATTCAGACAGCAACTGGAAAGAGAGACAATGCAGTAGTTCTTAGATAATTTCCCAGAAGTTGTAGGTGGGACAGGCATTGCTGTTTTTACACAATGCGATGGGATCTATGCTCTTGGACTCCAAAACCTTGCAGTAGCAAAACGATGTTACCCTATTCTTGTTTGCAGGGAAAACATTCAAGGTTTACAGTATGGAGGTTCTGTTAGTGAAACTGTGCAAACACACGCTATCTGATCTCCTGTTAGCTGCCGTTTGACTGATCCGTGTGTGTGTGTGTGCGTGCGCATCTTAGCTGAAAAAACAAGTGTGAGATATACCCCTAATCAAAGTCTTTCACCTCTTCACTTTATATAAAAAGGCTGCAAATGTATTAAAGCCACCACCGGTAAACTCAGTGTAGCATTGTGTTGCTTTTTGGTTGTTCAGGGTAGCATTTTGATTTCGTACATGTCCTTGAACACCAGCTGCCACATCAGATTATTCGAGACCTTTTATTTACTTATCATATCTTTATAGACCATCTCCCTCAGAGATGGGAGGGGGCAGAGATTCAGGCGGGAACAGGTTTTAATTATTAGCCAGGGCTTGTTAACGTGTACTGTATGTATAGGGGGCTATTGGTTATGTGTTCAAATTCCAGTTGTCTTGTGTAAAATAAAAATTCCAACATCATAAGTGGTGGTTTCAAGTCAGGGTAGGTTTTATTACAGTAAAATGCAGAGAGAACAGAACGATTGTGGGCCAGAAATGCAATAAGAAAAATGTTTTTATGCATTCATGGAATTTACTCCATGCTTTTCTAGAGGCCAATGTTGTTTTTCTTAAAGAGTGATGTACCTGTTCATGGTGGCCGTGCTGGGATCCTCTCCACACAGCTCGGAGTACCAGTACTTTGCTGTGTTTTGGTTGTAGTCCCCAAACTCTGCCTGTGCCAGGAGCGAGCTCAGCTCCTCGGCTTGTTCCGAGCCCATCCGTAGGTGCCCGTTATGGAGGTCCTCCTTCACGTGCATGAAGAACACGTGTCTGTCGGACGAGAAGAGAAGAATACATTGGTCAAATGCCAAATCTTTGAATTGCCATTTAGGTTAATAAAGTCAACAAACTAAGGCAACGTATATATTTTTAGATGAAGTCATAGGTCAGCCATTGCGTTTCTTAATGTGTAAAAGCTGAGGAGTCGGAGCATCTGGAGTACATAGGCCGGAGCAGGTGGTCATTACCAAGCCAGAATTGCACCACATGCGCCAGGGGGGTGTGTGAGCAGCAGAGGGAAAAGCAACTGTGATATTTGGTCGGTGGCCACAAAGATACTTTCTCTTTTTCAATCTCTTCCTCAGAAACAACTACAAGAACTTCCTTAAGTGTGAATTGACAGCTTTAAAAGTGGAAGTGGAGAGGGGGAGAGTAGTTTTTATCCCAGTAGGGGAAGTACTTGGACTTTTAACATGGTGAGTCAGAAGGCAAAAGTGCTTGAATTGTATCTGCTTGGCCAATAGATGACCTTGACAAGTCTGAAGATGAATGCAATAATGGAAATGAGTTACAATGGCTGGCATCCTATATGTCTCTGTGGCTGTTACCCCACACTCCAGCAATATGCTTATTTCAAGACAAGCCTCCACTGGTCTTGTTTTGCAAGAGGGAATTCTTGTTTGGAAAAAAAAGCTGTGTTTATTTGACTGTTGGGAAAATAGTTCAAAGATTAACGTTGGTCAAAAACAACAATTGTTACCATTTGGGCTGAACTAATAAATGAGAACATTGAGTTATGCTGTGGAAAAGGAAAACAGCTAAATGCTCAATACAAATAATCAACGGCAGGTCCTTTCCATTGTTTTGACCAGAAGATGTGAGGAATTCTTTCCTTCTAGCAGCAGGAGACAAAACGTCAAAAGGAATAACCACCTGAATGACTCAATCCTTCATGAAGAGTGTTGAACTAGAGTAACCCAAACTGATCCTTCCTTGAGATTACCTATGACACAGTAACCCTAAGAAGATAGTCTTAAATCAGCTGCTTCTGTGACTACAAACCAGTCCGACAGCTTGTCACTGGGAAATGTTGTTTACTGGCTGCAAATCTTTTGTTTTGCCAGTAGACTTCAGTCGTTTCATTTTAACATCCTGGCTTTGCCATCTGTTATTATCTCAAATCAAATACCTGAATAGCCAGTGCAGCAGTGCTGATGCAGTGACCTTGTGTAACCCTCCTGATCTATAGACACTCAGCTCAGACAGCTCAGACTTGACAATGCCAGAAATGAAAGTATAATGTTGGCTTGCTGTGCAGACAAGAGTTTCTTTTGTAGAACATTGTAATGTGTTTACAAAAAAAATGGCTGTTGAGTTTTTGGCCCACCGCATCCTGATGTGGTCGACTAAAAGCAGAATGCGCCAGAAACTGCTTGTTATTGCCGACTAAGAAAAAGAAAACTCCTTCGGGCTACAGTTCTCTTTGAAGCATGATGCGAACAGAGACATTTTCATTTGTGCAAATCAGGTCATACCATGACTTGAGGATATTTTAGAGGGGACCCTTGAGTGGAGGGGGAAGGCGGCGCTTAACGCAGCTCTATTAAGTTAATATCAACTCATTGTGTTTTGAAAACGTAGAAAACGCGTAGTGTTGAAATGCTCGTGGGAGATACAGGAACAATATGGAGTTGACATTTCCTCCGTCTCCTTATGGGACTCAAAGCCAGACTCTTGAGGGACAACTGAGGGCATAAGAGAATATGTACAGTTGTGTTTTGCAACATCTTCAGTATGCAATAACAAGGCACACCTCACTGAACACATATGCACGTGCTTCCAAGGAGCAGCAACAGTAGCAAAAGCAGCTATGAGGCACACAAACAAAGCCAGTCTCCACCACCCTGACAAAGCCAGACCATAACAACGAAGCCCCATAGCTGTCCAGCCTCAGGCATAACAAACACTGCTTTGATATGGTGTTAAACATCCCATTCCCTCCAACGCGCACACACACACTGATCTCTATTGTGTCAGGCCCAGCAGGCGTCATGTGATGACGCGCTGCTAGTTAGCTACCTGCCTGACGCAAACAATAGGTCTGCCTTCAGTTTATTATAGGGCAGGCTGTGGAGGTTACTATAGTTCATGCAGGGATTGGAACATGTAAATCCAGGTTACTGTGAAGCTGAGCAAGGCATTTAATATCATAAAAAGCTTCCTTCAGAACGAGTCCTGGCTTGTTAGTTTGGTGTCGTCGGCAGAATGACTCGTTTCAGGAGTGGAATGTACCGAGTACATTTACTCAAGTACGGTATGTACAATAATGAGGAACATGTTATTTTGTATGTTTATAGTTAAACTCCATTACAATTCACTGGAAATATTGTACAATAACAGCTTAGTTGGTTAATTTAGCCAATTAAAAGATTATTGACATCCATCATCAAGGTCATTTTGTACTTGAGTATTTTTACAGTGTGTTATTAGTAATTTTATTTAAGTAAAAGATCTGCATACTTCTTCCACCACTGATGAGCTTTAACCTCAACTGCTCCACTGTACCAACCATCTGTGACGATGTGGACTATTTGTCCACCAGGCTGCTGAGCAAGACATCTGACTCGTGCATTCCTGGGTTCATGCGGGCACCCATGTGTAAACAGGTGTTTGCTTTGCTGAGCGAAGTTTAAAAATCAATTTCCAATTTCCATTGGGAATAAATAACCAATTATAAGCTGTGGAATGGAACAGGTGAACAGGTTCGGCAACTGAGGTAACTTTAGTTCAACGATAGCTGTTCCTGCCTGACTTCCCTGGGGCTGAATGAGATGCATCAGATATGCACTCAGTCTGCCAAACAACACAAACACATGACAATCTGCAACAAACAGCTGCTTCACAAGCAGAGGGTAACAATTTATCCCACTGAGGATCCGGTGAAGATATAATGCTACTGTATCTGCTCTCGGTACAAGCTTAGTGCAGAACTCTTGTTATAATAACAACAAGGGCAACAGTTTTGTACAGATTACCCTGCCGTCTTCTGTTGCCTCTATATTAAAGCAGATAGCTTCACCTCAGATAACTGTTAGTCTGCCTCAGCATTTTCAAGGTCCATCCTACACCCAGGGCTTGGGAGAGACAACAGTTCATAAATCTTAACTCTCAACATGGTGGTTGAGATGGATTGGTTTACACAGAACTCAAAGACTTTAGCGTTAATGTTTTTGGAAATGTTTCCCCAAGTGGGCACACCATTCGAGGCCGACTGATCTGAAGTGACTGGATTTGTCTGGAACCATTTTATTTATGCTGACGAGGCTAGACAGAATCTCATGACTTGAAATCTGTCTCTTGTTGGGACATGAGGATGCCATGCTACATCAGGATCATAGATGTTTCCCCAGCAGCTAGACCACTCCTCTGTTATTCAGCACATTGGATTCCACATATCATTGACTAACACACTTTACTATAAGACACATACACATGCATCATGATACAGTCATCTGTGAACCCTGCAGTCATCATCGCCTCTTTCTTCAGACCAGACAAATGGAACACTGCAAGTCAGTGCCCTGCTTTAGTGTATTACACTGTGTCCATCTCATTGCTCCTACAAGGGAGATAAACCATAATCAAAGTCTTAAGAGGCTTACTTGTTTACATTCATAAATACCGAGGGGAAAGCTAACAGCAAAGGAGATATAAAGGCAATTCAAACAGTGATTGTAGTGGAAAGGGAGCTCATGTTGAGTGCTGCAACAATGCTTGAATTCCTGATAGCCTGGCTGGAATCATTCAAATAAAGCAGACCTGAACACCCTGGAAACAAAATGTTTTCAAAATAGGTCAGTGGCTACAGAGCTGAGTTAAGGAGATCAGATTATTCCAGTTTTATTCCAAGTCTTTGAACCATAAATACAACACAGATACAATCCCAAACTGCAGTCTCAGGGCAATTTATTATATAAAAATGTGACAAATCTTTGCAAGTTTTATATCACGTAGACAAAAAGGAGGAATAGGCGTGGGTTTTTAAGTAAGACCAGACACTCATTACCAAGTCAACTAAACCCTCTCTAGTCTGTTCCACCCATCTATAAAACCCATTGTCTCCTTTTTATGATTTCTGCCCCAATTCAATGTCTATTCCCCGAGTAGGCAGAATGTCAGCCTGTTCATTTCACAGAAGAACAAAACGTCCCCACAAACTGAAACCCAACACCTCTGCCTGGAGACTGCACCTCATCCAGCCAATCACCAGAAGAGTTTCAGACCTCATCGGTCGGGCTCTCAACAATGTGGTTTGTAAGCGAGTCAAATGACACACTGCCAGGAGCTGTGTGCTGTGAGGTTACTAGCGGTCAATGAACTATAGTAGACCCTGTTGAATATCTTCCCCCATGGTGTGGGCTGAATGGAAAGTCAGACTGTTAAACTTAAAAAGAAAAGTTTTAGCATTGTGTTATTTATCAGAAAGTTGCAAATATCAAGCTCTAAATAGCATGTGCCTTTGCTCTGTTCCAAGTTGAACTGAAAGCTGTACAGCAATAAAACAAAGAAGCTGTTTGTATGCTAACTGCCTTCTGTTACAGGCTGGTGCTCTGTACTGCATGGTAAAACAGTGATTAAAGATCAGCAATCAAACAAATCTGTCGTTCTTCGGAAAGGTCTAATGTTATGACTTTAAATACGAAAATCAGGGTAGGTTACTCCAGTTCCGGAGGAAACAAACTCTTATGGAGGCTAAAAGCTACTAATTACCAACAATGAAGCATGGCAATAAAGAAAGGGAGGTGAAGGCCCACAGGCTTCTTGAGTGATCTTTGGCTTGATTGTCTCTGTAGCCTGCAACAGTTAGTTACACATTTTAACTTGTGTGTGACCGGAATAAATAACCGTGAACGTTTTTTCAGAGATTTTGGTAGAAAAGCTCGATGACTAAGCTGAATCGTGCAGAATATCAAGTATACTATTGTTACTCTCCGACTGCAAACGTTTCGTAGGGCTGCTGCATTTTATTCATGATTATTAATGTAATTGTTGGTATCCCTGCAAAGTCAAAACTTTTATTGGAAAATATTTTTCTCAGTTGATCTATTCTACAAATGCTACATTAAGTTGAAACCTCTCCAATCCATTCACTCTGGGAAAGGCAAGGAAACGCCCTGGACAGATCAATAGTCTGTTGCAAGTCAACACACACTTTCACCTCTGCCTAGCCTCTAGTACCACTGACCTGCATGTCTCTGAACTGCCTGGGATGATGTGAGAAGGAAGGAACAGTGTCATGTGAGAGCAATGACATCAGTAGAGCAAAGTTCTTAAAATTAGATTTAAATAATTCTAGTGTGGAATTATGTCCAGACCGTTATGTCCTATTTAGGGAAATAAATGTCTTGTCTTTTAGTTTTCTTAGCATTAGGTTATTAGCTAGCACCTGCTTGGTGGAACAAGGAACTCTTCATTGGAATACAATTAATGCATGCAAATAATGATACAATTATTAATAATGATTTTTCATTGGTTAAAACTAATGTGGCTCCTTGTTTAGATTTCAGATAAACATAAGCTTAAACCATGGGGCGGTAAACAGGTTAACAATCAGGACCTCTAATAAATCCTGTACCAACAGCTTTGCCCTTTCAGGACATCCAATGTTTGCCTGATCAGAATGTTAAATACAAGTGCTAATGAAGGGAAAACATTCACATACTTAAAGCAGAAGCACCCCTTAGCAAGTGGGGTTAAATGATGCAGATAACACTGGCTGTTTTGTTGAGGCCCTTGGGACAGAATCCCTTAAGTGTCCATCAGTGAATGCTCACAGAAACACAGAGCAAATCAGACGTGTTTACAAAATAATTTGGAAATTTACGAGATTAATAAAACAAGCTTGGTAGAGTTGTGCGAGTGAGAATCTTAAGCAATGAGATTAGGAAAATAGGGTCTTAGAAGCAGAGGATACGGCTGCCATGGAATCAAGCTCAACTTAAGCCGTGTAACTTAAAATAGATACAGCCTTTTTTTCAGTAGTAGAAACCAAACCTAGGTGAGAAGTTTACAAAGGTATTATGGAGTCTAGGAAATGGGTTTAAATACTATGACTTTATCCTGGATAGTGCCGTTTCGAGGTAAATTAGACCCTACCAAAGAAAAGGAAGATAAACGTAAGCGAGTACCCAAATATTCAGCTGCATGTGAGCAAGAACATGCAAGTGACCTGCGAGGCTTTACGTAGAAGCAGAGTACACAGCAGCTTATAAGCAGCTCTGTGCGCCCAGTGCACTGCAGGTTATGTAATAAGGCCTATAAGGAGAGCGCTGAAAAAGAGGCCCTCCCCGCAGCTCTACTGAGAGTCGTGGAACCATGCAGTCCTTTTTGCTGTGTGTACGTTCTGAGCATTTATACTGAAGTGACTCATGCTTGGTTTTAACTTTTAAAACTCGTTCACAAATTGACATTGTTCGTGAAAGTAGATAAGGCGGTGTTGTGTCATATCTAAATTAACAACTTAAGAATTGGACTCATTCCAAGAGGCATGTGACTAACAATGTGCAATGTGTTTGCCATTGTGAGCTCTGCATGCTTGCCTGCCTGGAAGCATGCCTGCACTCAGAACATGGAGGCAGTGGGAGCCTAAAGTAGGTCAAAGGTGACCACAACATGGATATGTTAAATGGGACCTTAAAGAAAAGGAAATGAGCAGCAGAAATGCCATGTATCATTTCACAACACATTTAAATGATATAGCAGTTTCCCCAAAATGCCCCTGCTGTGCATTGTCAACATCTCACCCTGTGTTGAGCTTGCTTATAATCACATCTGAGCAGATGGATGGCAGAAAGGCTCTGCCAAAATTAAACTCATAACTTGACAGCATGTTGGTGTGTGCGCCATGTGTGAGTTTTTATTAGCAGCACCCCTTGCTTGCCATCTAACATCTTTATCTCACTTTTTTTTTTACAAACCCCATGACCCCCACCCCGCAAGCCATCTGTTGATAACCCCTGCTTATCTGGTGGAGCTCAGAGTGCAGGCAAGGGTCTTCAATGATCACACTCTCCCCCGTGCCTTTCACTTTTTTTCTTCAAAAGAAAAAAAAAGGAAAAGTGGAATATAGGCCACAATGAGAGAAACAGCTGAAGGAGAGCCAGTGGTGAAGTGGAGAACAACAGAGCTTAGCAGAATGCCAGGCAATTACTGGCCGAGGCAGATACATGTCGGTTTAATGAACCCTTCTAGTTGCACGCTGTGTTTGAGTGTGAAAGAGAGGGGACAAGAGCAGCCCACCAAAACAGATTCCCATCCAAAGTCTGCCCTGCCTTCTCATCTATGGTTCCAACTTCCAACCCTGCAGTATCAAACAATGACGGCACCACCTGAGGTGAGAACAACATCCACAGCATCACACAGACACTGTGTGTTAAACAAGTCTTTGGGCAGTTTCCTAGAGCAATTGCTATTTATAACTTTAAAGTGAAACTGAGGTCATGAATAGCCGAGTCAGGAATTAGACCTGTCAAGGCTTGTTATTTTGTTTCAAATATTTTGTTTCATCAAGCTAAGATAATTGTGTAAACTGCCAGGGGAAGTTTTGTTTGGTTGGCTATTGTTTTACTAAAATAAATACAGCTGGGATAAAATATCTCTCAAAGAGCACAGAAAAGAATATCCGTAAAATATATATCCAGGTGCGTTCAAACATGATTATAAATGTCACTATGTATTACAGAGACTCATATTGATAATATCCTATGAAGGAAAAAACACTAGACACAGGCCTATCTCAGTTTCCATACAGCATCTGCAAAAGAAAATCGTGGAGTGTGCTTTTGTTCAGACCAAAAATGGCCACAAACAATTGAAACAGAAAAAGCACAACAAAAGTTATTTGGAGTTGAATGGGGGCAGTGACAGAGGTTCTGGCTGTCGCACAGAGGATCCCTGGGGGCAGATGCAGAGCGACACAAACCCCCAGGGCAGCTGGATCACATTTCCTGCCAGAACGAACTTTAGTAACCCCGGCTCAGCGAAGAGGTTACTACAGGGCATTCGACTGTATTGTAGACAGTGATTAGATTAGGCTGTGGAAACGAGTTTATTTTTCCGTCATGTGCTCATTATTGCATGTCTTATGCATTACTAAGTGTTTCAATAAAAAAAACATCTAGATTTGATTTCTGGTGAATTTGAAGCGGTTCAGCAGATGTGAGATAATGTTGCAAACAGGAAGTGGAAACTTTATCTGTTCATAGGCCCATAAACAAATGTGAAGACGTTCATGTTGCATGCAAACAAAGTCTGTGCAAGCACGTGAGATGGTAAACAAACCTCGTCTGTTCCTGCAGAATGAGATGGGGCTCCACAAAGAACTTGACCCTCAGCCTCAGTCGACACGGCGTCACGTTATCCATCTGCTGACAGATGCGATTCCTCAGATTCAGCCACAGGTTCTCTCCTTTGCTGCCCGTGAACTGCAGCCCAAAGTAGTCTACTTCAATTATGCCCAACTTTCTGCAAACCTGAAAGAGATTAAAGAATCCGAATCAGAATAAATGTATTCGTCCCACAGAGGGGAAACGTACATGTGTTACACAGGAAAGAGCCAAAGACAGCTTAATGTTAACTAAGAAGCATGCATATATTTTTTATACAAAGATTACACAATTTACAAAATAGAAAAAACAGTTATGAAGATATAGCAGCCGGGTATGTATATTGCACATTTATTAACAAACAGTCACATAATGGATTTTGAAAAAATAAATGAGTAAAAAGGGGTTTTATCAGTTATTTGAAGAGTGTATGGGACATCAGTTTATTTGAAAGTGCATCTTTCTTTGACTTTACACTCAACATTTTGAGTTTTTACAGCAGGCTTAAATGTCCTTGAAGAGAACTATACATATTGGCTTTAATCTCCCAGTATAGGGTGGCAAGAATCAACACATTTCCCGAGAATCAATAAAGTGTTTGCAAGATGTAAGAGGCGGAGGAAGATAGGGCTGCTTTTATCACTTAGTTCATTAGGATTTCTGCTCCCCTGGTGCTACTCTCACAGATAAATCCCATCAATATTCTAAAGCACACGATAGGATTGAAGTAAACTTGGAGGCTCTCCCGGGGTAAAGGGGCTCATCAAACCCACAATCCCACGCCCCCGCGGCCATGGGGTTATTACATAACTGCTGGTGGTGGTCTGCAGGGAGCCCGGAGGCTGAGATAAAACTCATTCATACCCACGGCAAGTTGCCATGCATTTGAAGTAGCTTTTTAAAAAGTGGGGGAAAAAACATTTTAAGGCTATTGATGAAAGGAAAAGTTCGCATGCCACCCTGTTTATGTCCACTTTAGGAAAAGAGGTAAATGTCAGCAAGCAACTAAGTAGCGAGAACGCTGAGTGCCTACAAAAGGCAGAAGAAGAATGAACTCAAGTAACCTGGACAAAGCCATCTGCCTCTGACTAAGCCATGCAGGTAAACGACAGCAGTGTGACCACAATGCATCAGAACTTTGCTTCATGTACATCAAGTCGTGCTTTTCAAGAATGACTCGACATCCTAAGGTTTCATTGTCCTGAACAGATGTTTGGTTGTTGGCACGATGGGCGCAGGAGAACATTTTGTTTCCGCTTACCCAAATGCAACAATAAGGCTGATGTATCCATAGTTGTGTTAACAGATTATATCCACAGTTAATGTTATGTCAAGCAGCCGATACATCTTATTTAGCATTCATCGTCGTTTAATTTCGCAATCTGTATACCCACACATTGGAGTCAAATGAACAATTGAGCTGAAGTTTAGGAACATCTAAACTTTCGCCAGGCAACAAAATCATCGCTACCATGGCTGACAATGACACTGCGTTTTAAAAAAGGTATTATATTAACAAAACGTGATGTGTTCTCCACCACAGTTTACCTTATTCAGACAGTCTTCACCGTTCGCCTTCGCATCAACTTCCACTTCCATCACCACTGAATCCGGACGAGTAACGTGGCAGAGCATTTTAGCTGTGTATTCTGTTAATCTTTGGTTTGCCACCTTTAAAAAAATAATAAAACACTTCTCGAGCCTTCTTTAAAAACCCCTACATCAAGCCTTCCTCACTTTCATAGCCCTTCCAGTCCGTGTGGTGAATCTGGAGCCACCAGCTGTAGGCTATATCAATGAAATGCCATGCACGGCTCCGCCTTCCCAATGGGAGTGAGTTTCACATATCCGCTGCAGAACCTAAACCAATCAGAAGTCGCGTTACAGCCGCATGCTTCTCCGGCTGGAGCTCACCTCCCGTGTGAGGAAGTGTGAGGAGTGCACTGCGCCCTCGCCTGGCTCGCCTGTTGCGTGAAGCTAAAGTGGCTTTTCGACTCACCTGCTCCTAATAAATTAGACATTTGAACGAACTTCAGTAGACCTTAGGGTGAGTTTAATGGCTTGTATACGGGTTTCCCCTCGGTTAGAGTGAATAATGTATAAGAATGCAGTCTAAAGATAGCCACGTGGATGGAAAAATAACCTGCAAAGCTACTCTGTCCAAAGCTTACATGAATGTTTAATGAAGGGGTCTCAGTTGGCTTTCCAACTCCACCTTTCCCTGCTTGTGTAGCTTTGTATCCTTGAACTGGGGTCACGTGTGCTTGAATAACACTTTTAATTTAATTTAAATTTTTAGGTTATCAAAGGGTTAAGATAAAGGTAACTTCAACTGTCTTTAGATTCAAGAGAGGATTTGTTGTCATATGCACTATATAGCTACAGTGTTAGTGCTGCAGATAGGAAGAATAATCAAATCATAATGAGATTGTGATGACAGTTGTATGGCATCTCCACAAGTTAGTTCAACCTCCAACCTTTTATTAATATTTCAAATGTTTTCCCCTGCCTAATGAATCACTGCATTGTTGTTTGTTTCCTACCTTGGTGTGTAACAAATTGACTGATTTATGAAGAGCGATTGAATAATTAGGTGAAGAGAACAATTTCAGCCGCATCCTTTCCACAATATGGAACTTTTTGTAATACATTATTCATCATCAGTGTTGTAATTTCCACAGTTGGATACAGACTAGGTCAGAAGACACTGCAGAAAACTGCAGGCAAACACTGAGTCATACTTACTCTGGGGAGGCAATGGCATAGTGTTCAGCCAAGCCCTGTGTGTGTCTGCCAGGGGACATTTTAGGGTAATGGCAGCGTGCCTCTCCATATTTGTCTACTCTCCCACCACTGCATTCCCGATGCAGCATCAGTGACTCCGATACAATCACTTCCTCATTCAGTTACAGAATTAAAGCACTTATTTAGAGTGAGATGACTTTCAAATGTATACATACCACATGTGTGAGGACTTTCTTTATCTGGCTGTTCAAGAAAACAAGTTATGCTGATTAAACTGCAATCAGATACAACATAAGTCATTGATGTGTTTCTTAGCTGAGGTGAATGATCAATCTTGCCAATTCAATGAGCACCAGACATTTTTACTATGACCTCATTCCCTAAAACGTGTGACTAGTGTTGTCATGATCCTGGAATTTGTATCTTTGAAACAAAACCTTAATTAAAGCCAGCCAGAGAAGCACTGCTGTGATTGGTTGTTTTTGCTGCCAGTCAAGAAATGACGCTTCGTGATTGGTCAACACCCGACAGCGAAATATGTCCCAACACATCAGCCGTTAGCACACACTCAGAGCTCACAGCTCCTCATATCTGTTCAGAAACTGGAAAAAAGTTAAACATGTACAAACCACAGACTGTCTGTGTCATGGCGAATACAGTCGCTGCTTTATTTATGTCTGTATGACGTTGTTGTGAGTGTGGACGGAGCAGCTACAGGTTAGTTTAGCCCAGGGGTGCCCACACTTTTTGGGCTGGTGAGCTACTTTTGAAATGACCAGCTCACCGAGGTCTACCAACCAAAAATAAAATCCCAAATTGCAAGGGTTGCTGAATAACACGTTTTATTTATACATGGGATAATAGGGCTGCAACAAACGACTAATTTGATAATCGATTAATCTATCGATTAATGAAACGACTAATCGACTATTCAGACTATTACATGCCTTGCACAATTTCTCAAACGCTCTTATTTAGCCATCAACTTTTAGATTTAGCTTAAGGTTGTTTTAGGCATGTGGAAACTAACAATGAAGACAATAAAGATGAATACTTGATTCAAAAATACATATATTATTAAATTAACAAATTGTGAACAAAACTAACATTGCTTTTTATTTAAATTAAATAAATAATATTTCACATCAAAAGAAACAACAATGTTTTACCAAATCGTATTAAATAATCTGACAGAACTGTGAACAGAATAGCTGAAACTTTAACAAAATAAAAGAGTAACTCAGTTTCCTATAATCATTAACCCATGTTTGAATCATTGAGTTAACTCTGTGTGTTGCTGCTAGCATACATAACACCTGACGTGGAAACGTTACTCGTGGATGGGGCTACAGAGCTGCTAGAAAGACAGTGGAACCCGGTGCATTCCTCCGTCTGGATGTGGTGCACTTTTGCTAAATGTTTAGACACATTGCTCGTGTTACCGCCCTCACATGCTGAACTCTCTTGGCAAGGAGCATTGTCCACCTCAAGACGGGTAACATTTAACCACACCTTGGAGCGCTTCTCTCCGCCATCTCCTCCGTGTGTTGCTGCTTGTAGCAGCCGCGTGTGTGTAAACTGCCCCGCCCCCTCGCGCACAGACGGGAGAGAGAGAGATCTCGTCTCGATTGGAAAGATCGAAAATACACCGACATTTGTTTGTCTTTTTGCATGTTAGAAACGAGTTGGCGACACTAAGATTGCGAGATAATATTTGTGTAGCAATAATACATGACCTTTCTCTTTCTCAACTCGCTACTCGGAGGGAAGTCGCTGTCATATGCCTTGTGAACACTCCGATAATGCCTCTCCACGTTACCTTTCTTTGGCAGAGCGACGCTTGCTTTACAAATAAGGCAAATAACCTTTGAATGTGACATCACAAACAAATATTCTTCCTCCCATTCTGGGTGGAAGTGGTTTGTCTTTAGCTTTTTGCTCGGTCCCGCACTCATTTTGTTGTTTGTCTCTTGTTTGTCTCTTTAACTTAATTTGAGTTTTCCCGGCACTTGACTGATTTTGTATCGCTTTGCATTCTGGGTTAACAGACTGGAAAGCGATAGGTCGCTTTTTCTGTCAATCAAGTAAACTCCTGAATTAAGTGGCAGGGAGGCCAAGGGAGGAGGGATCAAAACCTGTTTTGTCTATTTTAACGGAACAGGATTTTTTTTTTTTATGAATGACTCGCGATCTACCAGCATTGCCCCGACGTACTGGGCACCTCTGGTTTAGCCTGATGGATCCGATTCCATTCAGAAAAGACGCATTTTAAAAGCTTTTCGCCTGCCGTCTTATCTGCAGACTTGTCAAAGCGTTAATTCATGATTTGTACTAACCGTTATCAGTATGTAGTTACTTCGGCATCACTTTTGACCGTGAAATTAAATCACGGTCAAATATGTTCATTTTGTTGTAGTTGGTATCTCCCATATCATTTACATGGAGATACGCCCCGCCCCCTCTCCAGCGCCTCTTGTTTGAATGACAGGAGCAAACACAGCTGACAGCCGCGGTGAAACTCGAGCGATTAGAGCGATGCGAATATTGGGTGGTCTACCATAGTATTTACATGGAGATAAGCCCCTTAAAAACCATGAATTAATAAAGCATTAATTCTGTGTTTATTCCTGTCATTCAAACAAGACGCTGGAGAGGGGGCGGGCCGTATCTCCATGTAAATCCTATCGGAATCGGATCGATCAGGCTAAACTAACCTGTAGCTGCTCCGTCCACACTCACAACAACGTCATACAGACATAAATAAAGCAGCGACTGTATTCACCATGACATAGACAGTCTGTGTTTTGTATATGTTTAACTTTTGTCCAGTTTCTGAACAGATATGAGGAGCTGTGAGCTCTGAGTGTGTGCTAACAGCTAACGGCTGATGTGTTGGGCCAATCACGAAGCGTAATTTCTTGACTGGCAGCAAAAACAACCAATCACAGCAGTGCCTCTATGGCTGGCTCTGTCCAATCACAAACAAGAAGTGTTCTCCCTAAGGAATACCCATTCCGTCCAAGGTGAAATGCTGTGGTGTTTTGTGAAATGCTGTTGTGTTTTGTGAAATGCTGTGGTGTCTTGCACTTCAGGGCCACCGTAAAATATCAATATTCATTATAATCTTTGACACCACAGGGGAAAATTAACAAACCATTGAGGGCATACAACTTTAGATTTGTATTAACAAATCTACAGCATTATGTGTGTATACTTGCTGTTGAAAAAAGGTAGAGCAGAGAGCTCAGCTGGTACTCATGTGTATATATGTACTGCAGCAAATAAGCATTGAAAGCAATTTGAAATATTCAGTATCAATTCTCAGATTCTTTTCAACACTTTGTTTGACACGTTCATCACGGATCTGGTTCAAAGGTTGACCGCACAGGGAAAGGGCCACACCGTGTTTACTATAATAGGCTAGTTGGGAGAAATTGAATAGCGTATGTTTTTTTCAAGTATTGAGAGCACACAGCCCATGCCATAAGGATTTATAATATTAGGATTATATAGCCATTACGTAACAGTGACTTATGGTCTACTCTAAACTTTTTATTTATCTTGTCTTTACTATTATTGTTTTATTTTCTATCTGGCATTCTATTTCTTTTTTTTTCTTATTGTAATGTTCTGCATTTCCTCATCGCCGCTCATGATATGCAGGTCTCCCTTGAAAAAGAGATCTATGATCTCAATGGGACCAATCTGGATAAATAAAGGTTTGAAATGAAATGAAATGAAATATATGTAACAGTTCATGAAGGTATTCTCATATCTGCTACCTATCTGGCATCATTCCAGTGACCCTCTATCTTATATGCAGCCCCGTACACCAAAATTGACTCACCAGATACTATCAGCTGTAACATGTGTGTCTTTCTGCGATAAGGTCGGCTGGTCTGGAGTTGCCCCATGTCCCGAGATGATGCAAGAAGGTGTACAATGAACGTGATGTGCAGTCTGAGCAGCCGTCCTAACCATAAAAGGAAAAGCAGGGAAGATAGCGAGTGACCTTACAACCTGTCGACGTG